TAAAGCAGGGCATGAAAATCTGTGGTTATCCTTTATCTTTCCTCTTTTGAATAAAGGAGCCGTTAATCAGACTGTTAATGCTAATTTTCAGTATGCACCAACAAAGATACTGAACTATGAATAACATCACCGCTTTTATTTTTAAAGCCTGTATTCCCGCTCAGTTAAACCAGTGGTCAGCAAATATCAACAAAAAATTATTACTGAGATTGAAAAATTACTCCCATTATGAATGCGTGATGGTAAACCCTATGGGGCACCATTACATTACATTTGCTGTGTGGCATTGGTTGTTTTTAGAATCATTGGTTGTTTTTAGAATCAAAAAGCATATTGAACTTCATGAATGTATAACCAAAATTTGCAACTAGGTGCAAGCCTAAGTATCTTATCCTTCTCTCCTCCTAATGATTACACTTAGGACACCTACCTAACTTTTCCTCCTATGGGGCAGAAGCAACTGAACATGAGAAGAGAAAGATATAAAACAGATGATGCTACACATTCAACTGTACCTTCCATTTGTGAAGAAGGGGACCGACTGCACTGTTTATGACCTCTGTCACTGGAGAGTTTCAATCTTGCTGTTCACAATACCTATTTGGTGCTCTTCCTTTAATTAGTAACTCTGGCACATCAGGCCTGAACTAATGCTACTAAGGACAGCAAAGCTCCGGAGTGGATCTCCTTAGGGAGAAACCAATTGATTACCAAAGAAGAGCAGATGATGTATGATGCTTTGTTGGAAAATGCTATTTAAATCTCCAGCAAGATATATTGGTGACAGTTGCCAAGATACAAATTAGAGGAAGGGTGGGGGGAATTGGAGACATGTTGAAAAATGTGATGAAATGAAGATGAAATATAACAAAATATATTTCCAGTGCATATTGGAAACAAAATGCTTTTTTTCCCCTCTTGCTTGCTTTGCTCGCTTGTTTTAACCAACAGGGGTCTGGAAAATGATTCCTGAAATATTTTAATGTGACCCAAAATTTGGACCAGATTTGAAACTGTTGGCCCCTGAAATTCCACAACAACAGCAAAAAACTGGGAAGAAAAAGAGGTACAGAGGGACAAGATATTTTGCAGGGGTTGAAGTACAGGTACTTTTCAACTTACAAACATTTGTTTAGTGATAGTTTGAAGCTACAACATCACTGGAAAAAAGTGACTTATGACCATTTTTCATACATACAACCATTGCAGCATTCCCATGATCACTTGATCAAAATTTGGGCACTTGGCAAATGGCATGTATTTATAATAGCTGCACTGTCCTAGGGTCATGAGATAATCTTCCCAGCCAACAAGCAAAGTCAATGGAGAAGCCAGATTTACTTAACGATCAGATGATTTACTTAACAATTTTACTTTATTTTACTTAACAGCAGTGATTCGTTTAACAACTGTAGCAAAAAGGTCTTAAAATGAAGCACAACTTACTTAACAACTACCTCACTTAGCAATGGAAATTTTGGGATCAACTGTGGTCTTAAGTCGTGGACTATCTATATGGTCACATAAATGTCAAATAAGGAAGCAAATGCCTTGTTTTCATTCCAGGGAATGAACCTATCCATATATTGTGCTCAGCAATCATAGAATTCTGGAATTCAGGGCTCCCAGATTGTTCTAGCTTCTGCTTAAAAGCAGGGTTCAGTGGCAAGACAACACTGCTCTCTGTAGCTGTCTTTCTTGGGCTATCTGCTCCTCAAAGGAAGTCTCAAGAGAAGGTGATGTCCTTCAGACTTCCATGATTAGCCATATAGCTAACTTTCTTGACCTATCTGCTCCTCAAAGGAAGTCTCAAGAGAAGGTGAAGTCCTTCAGACTTCCATGATTACCCATGGATTGCGAGGACAGGTACAGCTGCCAAAGATAGTAGGTATTCTGTCACCCAACTGAAGGATATGGTATCAATTCTCAAAATGTAGATATGTGGCCAGAAAAATCTCAGATCCAAAAAAGGGTCCAATATACATGTAAACCGTTTTGGGAACATAGCCTGCATTTTTATGGCACTGAACAACTGTCAACATTTTTCACAGGAAATATTTTTGTTTCCCACATCATACTTTTCAAATTATTTCATGCAAATAAAACATTGCATCAATGTAATTAGAATAATATTCCTTATTATCCTAAGAATAATATGCCATAATATTTTTTATCATGATTAAGATTAAAGCTTGGCTGCAGAAAATATTCATTTCACAAAACAATCTCATGGAAAACACATTTTATCTCTATCTAATTCTTACCTTTAATCTCAGTTCTTGTGAACTGCTGAACCTTCCATCACAGAGGGAAAGCAAAGACTTTATTTCCTAGAAGAAAGTAAGATATGATAAATCATTTTGGAAACAACATTTTAATAAACATCCCAAAATCGTCTAACACTGTTATTGCATTATTACAGTATACTTTATACTTTAAAAAATACACCTTCTTTAAAAATGACTTCTGGAGAGCCAGTTTGGTGTAACCATGAAGGCACCACACTAGAAATTAGGAGATTGTGAGTTCTAGTCCCGCCTTAGGCACAAAACCAACTGATTCCCTTTGGGCCAGTCACTTTCTCACTAGCCTAGGAAGGTGGAAATGGGAAGCCACTTCTGAAATCTCACCAAGAAAATTGCAGGAACGTATCCAGGCCTGTCACCAGGAATCAAAAACTGATTCGAAGGCACAAAATAATAATAATCAGAGGTGAATAATCCAGAGGTGAGTAGGTTTTCACGCTATAAGTCATACTAGAAAACCCAGAATGCTAGTTGCTGCAGTTGCTTTCTCTTCCCACCCCTTCCAGAGTAGGTACAGCCAAATATTACTTCGCTGCATTGGAAGGAATGGGAATTAAGGCAGCCCCTTAAAATATTTACATCTTACCCCCAGATAAGTATAAACACAGAGAAGCAAAATAGCCAAGTGCTTTCCTTTCTATGAGCATGACTTTTGAGACCTGAATACAACAAATCCCAACCACTTGGGTAAGTGGTACCTTAGCAGGAAAAAGAAGAGAAGACAAGGCTGTATTTCAGGTTATCGAACCTGACACTAAATCAAATGGGGGCAGGGCTATCCATTTGAGTGAATGAGGATGAAGTTGAATGTTCTCCCTGCAGTGGAGAGGGGAAAGATACAGTTGATATCAGTTGCTTTCCCAACAGGTAGCATTTATACTTCCTCGTCCATTCTCACCTCCCAATAATTGGCCCAACCTTGCAGAGAGGCAAGTAGGAAGCATTCAGTCGTTCTCAGAGATTGCCTAGACAAGTACCAGCAGTTTTCTTGGCAAGGTTTTTCATGAGTGTTTACCATTTCCCCTTTCTTAGAGCTGGGAGAATGATTGGCACAAGGTCATTGATTCTGTGCCTAAGGCAGAAGTAGAACTCATGGTCTCCAGCCTGATCGCTTTAACAATTACATCAAACTGTTTCTCAGGTATGGACCAGCCTTTGACGTCGACTAGAAAAGTGAAGCAGATGGGTATCAAGGGAGGTTCATGTTGATGTTCATATTGCATCTTCAATAGAAATCTGCACAAAGAAGCTGTAAAGAGTACGTCCAAGATTTGAGCTTCCTGAAATTCTACCCAACCCTTTCTTTTTCTCCTGTTCCAAAGTGTACTGCAATCAACTTCCGTATTGATATGTTACAGCAACAGGCATCCCACCTAGTAAAATCTGGAAGACCAGGGTAGGGACAGATCATCCTGATGGCTAATTGTCGACCACTCCAGAGTACACAATAATAATATTAATAAAAAATCCTCCCTTAATACTCTGAAGCTATGCTCAAATGCTATGGGCTCCTACACAACTATAACTTGAACAAACAGAAATTGTCATAACAATCTCTCTTCCACCCCATTCCTTGGGTCGTCGTTCTTCTTTGAGGTGAATGTGTTGTTGTTGTTGTTGTTGTTGTTATTATTATTGTTTTGCAGCTTGGGGAAATGCTCCAAGGCTACTACCGGTAGTAGGAAACCCGCAGCCTGGAGCGTCACCGTGCCAGCGTAGGACTAGCAAAGGCCTAACATGACCCCATTTTATTCGTCTGCAAAAAAAACCCACCAACCCCAAGGTTGTGGGACTTTCCCTTCTGCAGCGCCTGGGATAAGCAAACGAATTCATACGGCGCCGCCGAACCAAGGCAGAGTTACGATAGTTCCGCAGGCGCGTTGGAGGCCGCGCGCGCTCAGCCCCCGGGAAATTCCGAATTGGCAGAAAGGGCGCGCGCGCGCTCCGCACCTCGGACTCACCGGCAACCGGAATTCTACGTTCTGCTGAGCTAGGAGCAGCAAGTACTGCCTATAGCCCGTTTTCGCCAACGCCATAGTCCCCGGCTCGCGCTCTCAGAGGCGGCCGTACGCGCGCGCGTGGAGCAGGAGGGGCGGGGTCAAGGCTGTGGAAAGGAGGAAAGCGGGATCGAAGCGCCCGGGAACTCGGAAAGAGAGAAGTGCAGGATTTTTTTTTTTTTAACCGATCTGAATGGTAGGGAAGGCGGTAGACTAACTTTATTGTCGCTTTGAATGTACGCTAATACATTCCAGTGAAATTTCGTTGCATGCAGCGAATTTGCTACCATCTGAGCAAAGGCAATGACGGGGAGGTTAACTACTACTGCATCCTTACGGACCCTTGCTGCCATACAAATACCTCTGTAGGGACCTTATTGCCGTGCAAACTTTGTTTGACTTAATAAAAAAATTGTAATTTTTTTTCCAATAGCTTCGGCTGTAGGACGAGTAAAGAAATAAGCAATAAGGGAAAATTGAAACCCGCGACGTTCTTCGCGGGGTCTGATCTGCAATATTTATTGTTAACGGAGAGAGCTGCAGCTTGCTGAGCAACAAGTGAACTCGCTTCTTTGTCCGGCTCGGTGAAATTCGTACCTCGGGATGGGTGACTCGGTTCCCGGTAAACGAGATCCGCTTAGAAAATCGGGCCCCGTAGATGAGCTGGAGGTTAGCGTTAGAATAGAAAGACCGAATTAAAAAAATTAATTATTAGGATGCTAGTAACCGGATATATGGTGGAGCGAACGTTCAAATGTTGAACGTTCGCTCCACCTTAAGAAGGCGTTCGGCAGCGCGATGGGAGCGCCGCCCTGTAGCAAGGAATAATGGGATGGCTCTTCTCTGATTGGCCAACTATTTTCACTCCAAGCAGGATGTTTGTAGCTTGAAGCCAAATATTGCAGTGCTTCAAAGGCAAGAATTGACTCCTTTCTCGCAGAGAAATTCCGCAGCGGGATAAGTACCGGTAAGTATAAATAAGCACTATCTATCTATCTATCTATCTATCTATCTATCTATCTATCTATCTATCGTGTTTCTCCAAAAATAAGACCCTGTCTTATATTTTTTTGAACCCTGAAATAAGCGCTTGGCCTTATTGCCATGCGCTCAAAAGCAAGATTGGGCTTATTATCAGGGGATGTCTTATTTTGGGGGAAACAGGGTATCTACCTACCTACCTACCTAAATTTTAGAAAATTGAAGCAGTCTTGCTATCATTTATCTCAAACATATATAATGTCACTTCCATAGAACTGATTTTACACGTCTAGGGAGATTCTCAGTCATCCAGGTCATGGTTATCCCAAAGGTGCTTTTTCAAGAGGCAACTGGACTTTCTGGTTTTTCTTTGAAGGGGTTTCACTTCTCATCCAAGAAGCTTCTTCCGAGCTAAAGAAGTTTCTTGGATGAGAAGTGAAACCTCTTCAAAGACAAACCAGAAAGTCCAGTTGCCTCCTGAAAAAGCACCTTTGGGATAACTGGTTTTACAGTTTAGAGTTTAGTTGATTTATACTTATTTGGGTTAAAGCTGTGCCCGAAATTATGAACAATTTATTTATTTTGTGGATGCTTTTACTCTTGTATTTGGGATTTTTTAATTGTTTTATAATTTTAAAATTGTAAGCCACCTAAGGTCACTTGGTTGAGTTGGGTGGCAATAGAAATTGAATAAATAAATTGGAAATGCTAGAGATGGAATCACAAGGTTTGTGAAGCTAGATGCTGTTTTAAATCTTTAAAAAGTATTACAGCTCATCGGTCATCACAATGAGTCCAGCAACATGTAGCCAGCCTTAGTCAGTTAGAAATTTGATGGAGTGGTGGATTTGGATGGGAAACAACCCTCCCCACCAAAAAAAACCCTTAAGATTGGAAGGGCAAAAAACATTCTGGGAGACAGTTGCAGCCCATTTCTGTGCTGTAGACAAAAAACATTAGGTGGATAGATAGTCATTTGGATGTGGTGTGGAAAGTGACAGGTTCAAGTTTTAACCTCAGCCACTGGATGCCTTTAGCCCCATCTCTCTCTCTCTCTCTCTCTCTTCTCTCTCTCTCTCTTCTCTCTCTCTCTCTCTCTCTCTGTCTTAGCCCAATATATCCCATAGCTTTGTTGTGGGGAAAAGTGGAAAAAGTGGACATTTTACTAATGCCTTGAACATTAGTAAAAAATGTTAGGGCTTCTGAAGGAGTAACTTCTTATTTTTACAGAATATCCTGCAAAATAGTTTTGGTAGTATCTATTGTAATTAGTTTTCTTGCCGTCACCTTTTCAAGTCCAGACCCCTTTCTCTTTTTTATATGCCATTAAAGCTATTTGTAGCATGGAAGAAAGCAAAACACAGACTACCACAGCAGCAAGAAGTTGTCACGGCATTGTTGGACAACTTGCAAGAAACTGGCAGAGCTGGTCCAAGGATCGTGTGGCTTATCAGCAACGAAACCCATTTAGCAATGGCAACCAAGTAACCCAACGCACTGAGAAAGAGGATCCCACTTATGGGAGACCACCTGAAGGCTCCAAAACTGAGCAGAGAGGAAAAGATGCACACGCACATATAGGCAAAGAAGTGGAAGAACTATGCTTAATTATACTCAACACTGGAAAGAGGGAACAGGATGGACAAGTGAGAATAACATTTAAACAGCTCTTTGATAGGTATGTGACTATATCCAATAAACTAGTAGGTGTCCTCTTAAGAGCAAGGAAGCATGGCCTGGTTGACTTTGAAGGTGAAATGCTTTGGCAAGGAAAAGATGATAGTGTAGTTATTACTTTGTTTGAACAAGATAAAGATTATCCAGCTACTTCATGATTAATTCAGAAATCTGTTAAAGCTCTTGAAACATCAAAATGACTGCCTGGCTTAGAACATAGGGAAGCAATTGTCATAAAATGAAACTTATGTTTTAAAATACTTGGTCATTATGCAGTAAGAAATATGTACTTATTAAAGGAATTTAGTCAACATATATGGTTGAAAACAACTCAGTACATTTCATGAGGTATGTTATTCAAATTGCAAATGCTAATGAAAAAAACTAGAAGTGATTATCCCACAGATATGTGTAAGAGGGTGATTAAAACTTGTTTGAAAATAGTAATAAAGCTTTCCTCTACATTACAAATACCATATTTAAGAGCTGGTAGCCTGAAACGTATTGCTGAATACAAGTCTTTCCTTTAGTAGTATACTAGCATTCAGATAATAACCCTGGCGTTAAACAAAACGGATTAGGGTTTTTTTAAAAAAAATCTAATAACACATATAAATCAATATTTTTAAATTCAGCTGTATCCAAAAATATTCAAGAGATCTATGGGTAACGATTTTATTAAAGGTTTCTTTTTCATAACATATTAAGTTATATGTTTCACAGTTCCATCACATAAATTATCAGAGCAGTCTCTTTTTATTTTAGCACATTAACATTTGAACATGATTAAACATGTTTATCCATCACCCTTAACAAGAAATTGAATAAATCTTTTCAATAACTTTTACAAGCAGTTAGGAGTCATACTAAAATAAATGCATGCTAAGATTTGAATAAATAAAACAGGTTTTAAAACCATAAAAAACAGAACATGGCATTCTCTAAATACTAGTCTACTGCATGCTTTTAAAACACAATTTCAGTGCTTGCTTAAAATCATTTTGCTGTAACAGATCTGTGTGAATACCTACCTATATAGTTTAAAAAGTAAACATGTGAAAGTCATTTCATGCTAGATTCAACAGAATCTACGATTTCTGCATCCTTGACAAACAAATCTTAATCCAAGATCCACATTGAATAATTTGATATTTTATGCTAAACCCTAAATCCAAACAAACTATTGCATGATTTTAAAATGTTTTATTACTCCCTAACTACCTTAATACATGCATTTAAATACTAAAATTATTTAAAACTGTTCACATTCAAGTACATATTCTTATTCTAATTCAATGTACCAACTAAAGTTTTACACTGAAAGTACAGAGTAAGTAAGTCATACTCCGGACAATGGCTTGTTAGCCACTCTGTGCCTGTAATCATGTACACTTGGGAGTGATAGAATATAGCACCAAGACAATACTAAAAAGATCAGGAATGTATTGTATAGGCACAAACCTTGCATTAAGACAAAAACAGTCAAAGTCAGATACAGTTATTAAATTTTAATGGCATCTCATAAGTTTCAAGGGTTCTTTGCATTTGAACAGATAGGTATTTGTGATCTTATACGTTCTTGCATTCAGATATTTGCCTGAGAAATTTAACGTATAGTGTTTGCTAACAACTAGTTCAAACACTATATAGCAGCAAATTCAGTAGTTGTTTTAAAAAGTCTAGCATGTTATCAACTACATCCAATCCTTTAATCAGTATTCAAAGGTCAGAAAAATGGTACAGTTCAGAGGTAGGTTCCCCTCAACTTGTAGTGCTTTCAGCTTTCAGACGTTCCATCAGCTGCTCAGCCTGTTCAAGGGGAAACACACATGGCTTATTAGCACTTTCCAGAAATTATACAGTGTTGTGTTGAAGAACATAAGATTGTTCCCAAACACATTTACAAAGCAGAAGATCTATTGAGACAACCAGGAATGAACTAATTCGTATAATTAAGCAGCACCCACTGGGCTTAATCCAGATTCCTACCCAATGGATGAAGGAGCATACATATACAAGCTGGATACTTTAGGGCAAGGATCACTAATACTTTTCAGCTTGTCTCCTCTTTACTTAGTCAAGGGATCCTTATGAGATTACTGAATCTTTTGGAAAATATAAAACATAGAGTTGGTGACCTTGCAAATGTTGCCTTTAAAAAACAATTAACTTTGGTATTTTTTAAGAGCCTGGATAATGTATTCCACATGTATTACTTTATTTCAGGGTAATCAGGTTACAGACTTCATGCATCATCATCTTTCTTTGAAAGAACTTGGAAAAACTTAACTGAAATTTCAGTTAAGTTCAGTTCAGTTCAGAGTTCAGTATGAACTCCAATATTATGAATAAAAGGGTTAAAGCTAGAATGTAGTACCGCAATGCGTATTTCTGCTTCCCCGACTATCAAAAATATAGCTGATTACACTGTTCTCTCCATTGCCTAGAGTCATTTCCTATGTTCCCCTAGAAAGTCATCCGTCTATACAGAGATTATATTTTCCCTAATTCACTGATGAAAATGTTCTACCGAATCAAAAGCATTTTGCAAATGAAAGCTGTTCTTTTGTTTGATGGAAACAAGTATGGATCTAAAAGAACATATTTCTTCCTCCAGGTTTTTAGGGTAATTTATTTTTCTGAATGAGACTTCTTCAGTAAAAAACACAGCTAATGCTGATCAAGTTCAGTGTTGGTACATTTTTTAGAAATGCATTTTGTGGAATGCTGATATGGTACGATCATATTTATTTCACATTGAAGTTATATTTGAGAGTCTTATTTATTTTGAAAAGTTTAACTTCTCTAATGCAATAGAGCTAGTTTGGATGCTTAATTTTCTTTTCACACTCCTGTCTTGTGAGATTTGTTTTCCTTTCGCTATTTCAGTTTTTAAGTAAATTCTTCTGAACTAAGTTATCATGTGCCTTTTTTTCCCTTCTGTTCAATCATGCCTATAATTTTCAGAGACTGCCTGGGCAAGTTCCTACAGTTTTCCTGAAAGGGTTCTCAGAAGTGGTTTCCCACTGCCTCCTTCCTAGGACTGAGAGAGTGACTGGTCCAAGGTCACCCAGGAAGCTTTGGGTCTAAGATGGGACTTGAACTCCCAGTCTCCTGGTTTCTAGCCTGGTGCCTTAACCATTATACCAAACTGGCTTTCGTGCCTAATTTACTGCTACTGAAATGAACTAAAAGCTTTTATTTTTCAAAATATCCCAATAGTTTAGGAAAAATAATTTAGCACTTTGCAATATGAATTAAAATTTTGACCTTACCCCCTAAGTCAGTCAAATAGATTGCTCCCATTATTCGTTATATTTTTAGCATGCTGCATCAAACCAATTGAGATTTATTTTTATGTAAAACTTTAGCCATTTGTTAATAATTCATATCTTTGTTTACTGCTAGGTCTGTAACAGATATTTGACTATAATAGTATATTTAAATGTAAATTAAATGTAAACATGTCCAGTCATGTTCAACTAGGAAGCCGTTCTTAGCTAAGGGATACAACATTGTCTGAAGACATTTCTGTGGTCATGTGGCCAGCATGACTATATGTCAAGGCACATGGAATGCTGTTACCTTCCCACCAAAGTGGTACCTATTTATCTATTTGCATTTGCATGTTTTTGAATTGCTAGATGGGCAGAAGCTGGGGAAAGTAACAGGAGTTTACGGCAGTTGTGTCTTGAACCTGGGCTGTCAGTTTTCCAGCTAACAAGCTTGGCATCTTTAACCACTGAGCCACCACACCCCTAAATATAAATTAAGGATATGTTATTGAACACCCTGGCTTGACCTCATGCAATCAGGTGTATTCTGACACTGCCTCATTTATAATGACAGCAGGCTCTAAAAGAAGGACGGGGATAATTTCAGGACCAAATTCAGTAATTTCTCAGTCTTTGACTGCAACAGACCATTTTTTGTCCAAATTAGTGGCTATTAAAGTTTTCTCCAAATGACTCAATCCATGGACAGGTTCAAATTGCTGAAATTAAAAATTGCTGGTAAATACAAGCAATTATCAAATAGCTATTGATAAACTAAGAGGGATACTTGAGATGTAATTCAACGGGAAATACTAAGTCAAATGGAATTATAATTAGCAGGGATCTATAGTGTTTAAATTGAAGAAGGTGCTTCCTAATGCACATGTTGACTTGTCAACAGCTCTTTTCTACAGGATCATGTTGCAACTGTCTTGTTACCTCAGGAAAAAGTACAGCTGCTTTAAAGATAGAGGCTACATGAACTAGGGCTTCAAAATACATCTTCCCCTTCAAAATAATGCACAGCCCTACAAGGTACAAGAATAGGATAAATTTACAATATTCATGAGGAGTATAAATCAGGAATAGCACTGGGCTCATAAAGGATGGCAGTTCAGTTCCAATGAGAATTATAAATGAAATGTCTTCAAGTAACCATTAATGAACAGTGTAAGGGAAAACTGCAGATTTATCATGAAACTGTTTGATAGCTTTTTCTAACAGCAGCAATAAAAGTCACTGAATTAATAGTGAAATAACTTACTGTGATAAACCAATAGGAATTGATTCGGTATATCATCCGGGACAAGAATCCCAGGTGACTAGCTGGAGCCAAGACATGAAGGTGCAAGTGAGATATGGAGCAGAAAGGAGGCCAGTGAAAGCCCATCCTAGAAAAACAGATGTGGCAGCAACAATTCAGGTGCATAAAACAAGGATCCAGAATCAAGGCAAACCGTAAGGATTTGAATCTTTGCAGCAACTTGACAAAGTCATTAGAAAATTCCATGCAGTCCCTCATGTTTTCCACAAAGGATAGATTGTTTAGCTTATTCCATGCAACTAACTAGTTCTTTCCAAACTTTTTTATAGTCTACAGCACTTTACAGATATTATTCATACTAATAATTGCTCAATTTCTTTTCATTTGGAATTACACTGGAAAGCTGGTGTTTGTTTTTGATGAACAAAAGTCAGTGAAGACAAGGTTACAACTTAGCAAGAACACTCAGGGCACCCTGATGCATTCAGTAAGCAGAAAAGAGCATCCTTTATGTGATTACTCTATTGGTTTCCATGGTGGATACAGAAGAGGAGTCAGAACTGTGTTTTTCCTTTTGTACTTCATGAGTTCCCATGACTACCTGGCAGATGCTTAAACACAAATCCATAAAAGAGTTGCTGTCTTAGTGCACTTGACTTCTGAGATAAGATACTCAATTAGTGCTAGTTTTTATCATAAAATGTTTTCAATTAAACTTCCAAGCAAGGCTTTTGAAAGTGATTGAAAATATACATTTGCCTTTTGTAAACTGGATTATCATGAGGTGTGTCCGTACTCCCCCAATACCAAATTCATTGGAGCTCCAATATAGTCCCAAAGGTGCTTTTTCAGGAGGAAATTGGACTTTGTTTTTTCTTTTGAAGATGTTTCGCTTCTCATCCAAGAAACTTCTTCAGCTCTGACAGGATAATAGGGGATGGAAGGATTTATATTCCTTGCAGATAGCTGGTAATCTGCATCCTTTTAGAGGGTCGTTGAAGCACTAGGAGATTTAGCTGTGCTTCGAAAATCCTCTAAAACGGTTGTCAAACTTGTTCATTGAGGGCCCTATCAGGGTTGTGTTTTACCTCGGGGGGGGAGGGGGCATGGTCAGGGTGGGTGTGGCCAGCTCAATGTCAGGGGTGTCTGTGGTGGCCCGAGCAGCCCTCCCAAGTTCCGTTTTCGCTGGTCCTTCACTGTTTCCAGGATGCGGGCCGCAAACCTTGAGTTTGACACCCCTGCTCTAAAAGGATGCAGATTACCAGCTGTCTGAAAGGAATATAAATCCTTCCATTCCCCACTATTCTGTCAGAGCTGAAGAAGCTTCTTGAATGAGAAGCAAAATGTCTTCAAAAGAAAAAACAAGAAAGTCCAGTTGCCTCTTGAAAAAGGCATCTTTAGGACAACCATGACCTGGATGACTGAGAATCTCTACAAACTTTTAGCTCCAGTAGTAATTCCTATAATGCAATCATGCAGCATACAGGGAGTCCTCAATTTATGACTGGTAAGTTATGATGTATCTACTTTTGGACTACTTACGACCAGATTCAAAGTTCACTTGACCAAACTGGGTGCTCAGCAACACAACTATGTTTATAGCCTGGTCACGTAACTGCATTTTACAATGGTTTTGTTGAAATCCAGCAGTTTTTGGCAAAAACACATCATAGCAAATAATAGGTTCACTTAATAATCACGGCGGCCACTTTATGACTGCCCTGTTCCCTTAACAGCCACCACAAAAAAGGTCACAAAATCAGGATGCTTACATAACTGATCTGGTTTATGACCATCACAACTTACAATGGGCAGGCTCCATTACAGTTGTAAATGATGATTACTTGTATGTTTATCTTGCCATTTATGTAATAGCACAGCATAATATATATATTTTTTTCTTTCTGAAAATATACCTTATATCGTCCAAGTCAGTGCACTTACTCCACTGAAGGATAGCTCTTCCAACTGCTATCATTCTTTCCACTGTCAAAATAGGACAGAGAAAAGGAGGAAAATTAGATTTCTGAAGTTCAACTACTCAGTGCTACAGATATGTATTGCTAACTCCTGTTTAACTTCTCTGGAAATCATTTTTAAATAACACCCCACCCCCACCCAATTCTGAGGACACTTGAATTATGTTTTTAACATTTCACAAATTAATTTGTTTATATATGTTTGTACCCAAATACACATTAATCAACCTTCATTAAAAATGGATACATTATTTATAAAAAAATTACCGGTATTTATAAAAGTTTAAATAAAGCTATTCATACAAATATGCATCTATTATGAAAAAAACAACAGAATCATCAAACCCAATTAAGAGAATAAAAGCAGATTGGAGTTTGGAACAAAGTGTATTTTTAACGAGGCATAGAAACAGTGCAGGACCAACATTAATTTATCCGTGGAGTAAGGGTAGGAAGCATGCTTAAATGTGAGTATCGAGGAGAAAAAAGATGCTATACTTTTAAAAACATACATGCACCCATATATTATTCAACACAACATAATTTATTAATGTGTGTGAGTCCAGCCTGATTCTACAGAGGAAATGGGCATGTAGTGACACACATCAGATTCCACTGATGCCAACCAGGCTTCTTACCCCATCTGACTTTGTGTGTATTTTAAAAGATGCATTTAATTCAAAATTTGAGTAAAAGGATAGCATTCTGCAAAGTACTTGCCTATTTATTTACACAAATGCTTTTGGGCCTCACAACAGTACCATTGAAATCTAGAGAAATATTTTAGAATATCTAGAGTAGTGATGGTAAACCTATGGCACGCGTGCCAGAGGTGGCACAGAGTCCTCTCTGTGAGCACGCACGCTGTTGCCAGCTGCTTTTCAGGGTTCCATCGCATGCATGCGCACGCACGTGAAGGAACCCGGAAGAGCAGCTGGCCGCCACCTGCATATGCACCGGTCAGTTGCTCTCTTCCAGGCTCCAGTGCTCCGACACACGCACTCCAGTTTTGGCACTTGATGCCAAAAAGGTTAACCATCATTGATCTAGAGAAATCATTTTAGAATATCTAGAGAAATCATTTTAGCTCCTAATAAATGAATAATTTGTGATTTCCATTCCCTCATGGCAGCAATTCTGAGTGAAGCTACCATATGCTGCCATCTGTTCAAATACGACTCCATCTCCAAAAGACATGTTTGCAATATTCTCAATTTCTAAACCCGTCAGGCTCCCAGAATCAAGAAACACACATGGAGTTATTTCTGATCAATTCCTTTATTGTTCCTCGTCTACAGACAGAAATCTTGCCAAACTAAACAACTATTTGCATCACTGTAGATATACAGTGCTGTAGGAATCACTGGGGAGCAGCTGTTTTAATTCTTTCTCTCCTGACCAAACTTTCCATACTTTGCTGCCTCTAAATGCAGCCCCTTCCTTCTGGGAATCCAGACTACATTCCACCATACAACCACACCACAATGGGAGTAGTGCAGGTAGTCTTGGTTAACAATTACAATGGATAATTGTTAATATTTGGTAACATATTCAGCTTTGAGTTCTCCTGATACTGAGATCTAATCTTGCTCTTAGCCACTCATATACTGTATGTAGAGACCTGTAAACTAATAATAAGAGTTTTAGATGTACTGTATAGAATTTCTCCTTTCTCCATGCCAATATTAAGAGATTTTCCACTTACATAATGGTATATGCTCACTCTTAAGAGTCTTGCAATTTCCAATGTGGTTCTTTGGTACCACTAAATAATGATGAGGCGCTCCTGGTCTGATATCTCGGAAGCATACCAAATCTTCATACTAATGGAATATTTGAAAAAAGATTGTTATTGAAATTGCCTTGCTGACAAACTGCAAGTCGTGAAAGAAACAGCTTCATCTGGAGCTACTGGAAGTATCATTCCTCCTGAGAAAATGCAAATGGTCGATCAAATATACACTTTGTCTTATTTCCCATTTGCAATATTCATGAAGAATTTTTCCTTAAATTGATTCTCAGGCAAACCAACAGCTAGGATTTCAGCATAGCACTGGAACTCCCATTTGGATACAGCTATTTTATAGATTAAAGTATATCAATAGCATAGCAACAACTGACAACATCTAAAGGGTAATAGTAGAAGAGAATATTTGTAGCTCAGAGTTGAAACGAATTACCCAACTAGGTAATAGCATCAGTGCAGGTGATTGTGGGGTTTGCTACCTGTTTATATGCAGTAGATTTGTCCTGCAAGTTTGGGTGAGGATGTAATTTCCTCTTTCTAAGAAGTAACTAATGATGCTACTACCTACTCAGGTAATGAATCCTCTGCAAATCATCAAGCACCGAAGATTCCAGTAAAGGCTTACATTTTGAACTGCTTCATGACATATTTCAATAGCATCCCCACATCAGGCTTAATTATTAATATCAATTCACCCTAGCTCAGCAGATAGGCAAAAAAAAGGCACAAGTCAAAATCAGTGACAGATGGCTGCATTAAGAAATGTAAGGAAATGAGGACAACACATTCCTAAATTGCAAGTCAGCTGATGTCAAAAAATAGGGAGAGATGACGACAGTCAGAGGCAGAAATTTGTTAGCACACATGAATCATGTTTTCACTCCTAAATTTCACCTTTTTGAGGATATTAACTACCATATGCCAGATACTGTGTGAAACTGTAATATAAAGCCCTAACGTTATTCAATGCTCTTAATCTCTCTCTGTATATGTGTATGTATGTATGTGTGTGTGTGTGTGTGTGTGTGTGTGTGTGTGTATATATATATATGTATGTATGTATGTATGTATGTATACGCACACATGCACATACACATGTGCATGTGTGAGTATATTCTGTAGTCACGAAATATAAAATTCAGCGTCTACTGTAGTCATGAAATATAAAATCCACCACTGAATCTGGACTATTGTTCAAAGTTGAGAGATGCTAGGTGCTTCCACACTAAGCTTTTATAAACATCCGGCTCATTTGTGTAACTTTTTTGGGATTCAAACCACACATCTTTATAAACTTTCAAAATTCACTTCTAGGGTCAGTTCATTGTAGTGGTGAATGCATCAGGCTAAAAAACAGGGCAGCCATGAGTTTTAGCTTCTGCTTTAGGCATAAAGTCAGCTGGGAGATCTTGAGCCAGTCATTCTCTCTCAGCCCTAGGAAGCAGGCAGTGGCAAACAACTTCCCATACCCTCTGCCCAAAAAAAGTGTTTACTTCTGGAGCAAGGAGATAAAATTGGTATGTTTTCTATGACTACTCCTGTAATTGCTGCACTATCCAACAAGAGAGAGCAGGCAGGTTGGCAGACAGGCAGGACAGAAGTGCACTGAAAGATTACAAATGGATCAGGTTCAGGCCACAGGCCTATCTGGTTCAATATTTTGTGCGTCCCTCGGTAGACAATAGGATGCATTTGGGAAGCTTCCAAATGCATGGGCTGGAAGGCAGCCGTCTCCCACCACTTAGTATTTAAAGCATGCTGCCTATGGACTCAGGAAATAGCGAACAGGCCATCCATGCAGCGATCTCTGATCCCCCCCCAGTCCCCTTTAAAACGATCCAGCCGGTCTGCCGATGCCCACAATTGCAAACCAGCGAATTCCAGTTCCACTATGCTCCATTTCCCATCACAATGTCCAGCCCACAGACACGACCACCGTCTGATCACCGGCAAGTTTCCCACCAGCGGACTATTGAGAAAAAAAAGGGGGGGGGAGGGGATTTTCCCGCGGTTCCCTAATGAGGAAGGGCTATCGCTGTCCTTTGCCTGGTCTCCTCTTCTGTGGCAAGGCAAAGCCAGGAGGGGAGATCAGGTTGTCCACTTCGGTTGCCCCTCCTGGATGGGGTTTCTGCCTTCCAAGGAGAGCCGCCGGCACCAGCAGCGCCCCCTCACCGCCCCTCCTCAATGCAAGGTGACCTAAGCGCTCAAAAGGCAGCCGGTGCCCAAAGCCATTGGTCCTGTGAATCCCCAGGACAGCTACGGATTGGGGGGGCCGCACCTGGTTCAAGGGTTTTGGGGGGAGGGTTGCGGCACCTCCTCGGACGGCTGCTGGTTCTCCTCACCTCGCAAGGCAGCAGCTCAGTGCCCGTCTCCACCCCGTGAGTGATTCGGCAGAAAACGCACTTGCTGTCGTAGCCGCCGTCCTCTTCTCCCGCCGTGCCGGAACCGGCTATTGGCGTCGCGGCGGGAGACGAGCCCGAGCTTCCTCCTTGCTCCCCGGCCATCTGGGCCCTTATTTCGAGCAGGCCACCCGCTCAGTCAGCGACCCGGGAAAAGAGGGAGGGCTAAACAGAACCCGCGGCCGGTCAGCTTCCCTGCCTCCGCCCTTTGTCATCGCGGTAAGCCTCGCCGGCCTATGGAGGGAAGGCAAAGAGGCGGCCCCTGGAAGCGGCGCTTGATTGGACCTGCGAACCTAGGCGGCGATCAAAAGCCCTGCTTTGCTGAATTGGACAAAAGGTTTCGGCTGCCGGCTTTACTTTGACGGAACTGCTCAGAACCAGAATCTTCCTTTCCCTTCCCCCCTCCCCAAAATGTCATTCCTTCCCAAAACCATTGGAGTTGGGAAGGAAGGAAGGAAGGATGGAAGGAAGGATGGATGGATGGATTAAATTACAAACTGACAGACAGATAGACAGAGTTGGAAGGGACCTTATAGGTCATCTAGTCCAACCCCCGCCCCCCAAGCAGGAAACCCTACACCATTTCTGACAAATGGCAATGGAATCTCTTCTTGAAAGTCTCAAGTGATGAAGCTCCCACAACTTCCGAAGACAACTTTTGTTCCACTGGTTGATTGTTCTCACTTTGAGAAAGTTCCTCATTTCTAGGTTGAATCTCTCCTTGCTCAGTTTCCATCCATTATTATTTATTTATTTATTTATTTATTTATTCAATTTGTATGGCACCCCTCTCTGAAGACTCAGGGCGGCTCACAATGCATTTAAAATCATTATAAAAAACATTTAAGAATTAAAAACATTAAAACTCATTCACACCATTCATGGTCGGATCTCACCGGATCGCAAGAGCGAGATCAACGGCCCCAGGCCTGCCGGAAAAGCCAGGTCTTCACCGCTTTTCGGAAGGCCAATAGGCTGGGGATGGTCCGGACCTCAGGAGGTAACTGGTTCCAGAGAGCTGGGGCAGCCACAGAGAAGGCCCTCCCCCGCGGGCCCGCCAGCCGGCATTGTTTAGCTGATGGGACCCGGAGGAGACCAACTCTGTGGGATTTTACTGGTCGTTGGGAATTATGCGGTTGAAGTCGGTCTCGAAGATACCCTGGCCCTGAGCTATGTAGGGCTTTAAAGGTAATAACCAATACCTTGAATTGTGACCGGATATCAATAGGGAGCCAGTGCAGCTCACGGAGAATTGGTGTAATGTCGGTGTACCTAGGTGTACCCACAACAGCTCGCGCGGCTGAGTTCTGGACCAACTGTAGTCTCCAAACACTTTTCAAGAGTAGCCCCATGTAAAGCGTGTTGCAATAATCTAACCGTGAGGTGACAAGGGCATGAGTGACCGTGAGGAGAGCCTCCCAATCCAAGTAGGGTCGCAATTGGTGCACCAGGCGAACCTGTGCAAAGGTCCCCCTAGCCACAGCTGTCAGATGTTGCTCTAATCTTAGCTGTGAGTCTAGGAGGACACCCAAATTGCAAACCCGTTCTGAGGGGGACAATTTCTCCCTCCCTCGAACCAACATTATTCCTTGTCTGGCTTTCAGGTGCTTTGGAAAATAGTTTGACCCCCTCGTCTCTGTGGCAGCCCCTCAAATATTGGAACACTGCTATCCTATCTCCCCTGGTCTTCCGCTAGACTACCCATGCCCAGTTCCTGTAACCGTTCTTCATAGGAAGAAATTTTTTAAAATTTTTAAATGTTTAATTGGTTTGTGGTTTTTTTAAATTTTGGGCCAAATTTATATAGATTTTAATTGTTTTTAATATTTGTATTTCATGTTTTTAATTCTGGCTGTGCACCGCCCTGAGTCCTCAGGGAGAAGGGCGGTATATAAATTGAAAATAAATAAATAAATAAATAAAAATATGTTTTAGTCTCTAAGGAAAAAGTCTCCAAGGAAGGAAGGATTTCATCTTTATTTCCCACATGTGCTGGAACAGTTCACAATTCTTCTGCACCGAACTTACTGACCTGGATATATATTTTGATACTTGGTGCAGCCGCTGCAAAAGCAACCAAGTATTTCAAGTACCACTAAAAGATACTTGTGGTGTTTTACTTTCATTGGGAAAATACGTCTGGCAGCTAATGAAAGCAGCTCTGATCTACAAATGCTTATATCTGGATTAGTCAATATTCCAGGGTTCAGATTTGCGAGGTTAAATATATTTAAAGACATTGAACAGTATGAAAAGAATAAACAGTTGAAGAGGGAATTCCAGGAGTTACCTGTCTTCATTTACGATGTACAGAAATAGCACTGTAAGCTTGCAGCCCAAGTTCTGTTGAATGCTCTGGCTTTATATTCTCTCCAGTCCAAGATATAAATGATTTTTTCTCACTTTTGCTTGAAGAAGAAATATAAGTAAGTAGAGTGTCTTGCTATGTCAAGGGACCATATTAGCCTTGATCACCATTGCTAAGCATCTACCCTACATCCTGGTGACTTTGATATGAGAGTAGTGGCCTTATCTTGCAAAATGCATTTTCTTAGCTTATTTATTTATGTAACTTTGTTCGGTCACTAAATGAACTGTTTTAAGTCGAGGATACCTGTAGTTTGTAAAATGCTAAATCGCACCTACAGGTCCACCAGATCTAACTTAGATGTAATTCATATGCTTCAAACACACATATAAACTTTGTAATGACTAGTCCCGCTTTTATTACCAATGTGAAATTGAAGTCACATTCACCTGCATACAGCCTGGCAGTTCTGCCAGAGGGAAGCCACACAAGCAGTACACCGCCTCACTGCAGCCTGGAGCATAAAGGTTCCCCTGGATCCCCAGAAATTCATCACTGCACTGCTGATGAGCAGTCAATAAGTTATGGGGAAAAAACTGTTCCACCCCCAACTCTCACATTCCTTGCAACTTACATCCAGAAAACATACCCCTCAAGACTCAAGGGGAGGGCCTTCTCTGTGGGGCACCCACCCTCTGAAACCAACTGCCCCCAGAGATTAGGAGAATCCAAGACCTCGGTGCCTTCCGCCGTGCCCTTAAAACCCTCTTTTTTCAGCAAGCCGGGCTGGCTTAACATTTTTTCTTAATTTTTTAAATGTTTTAAATGGGTTTGTTATTGTTCTTAAATTACGGGGCCAAATTTATATATATTCTTTTAATACTATTTTAATGTTTGTAATTTATGTTTTTATTCGGCTGTACACCGCCCTGAGTCCTCAGGGAGAAGGGCGGTATATAAATTGGATATAAAATAAATAAAATAAATAAAGACCTTTTTGTTCCAACAGGCTGGCCTGGCCTAACTTTCCCTTTTAAACGGCATATGAGTAATTTTAAATCTGTTTTTAAACAGCCAAATTGTTTAATACGTTTTTATACTGTTTTAAATTTTATAATCTGTGTGTTTTATCTTTTTGGCTGTCACCGCCCTGAGTCCTTTGGGAGTAGGGCGGTATATAAATCTAATAAAATAAATACCCTCAATCTATGTCTTGGAATAAACAAGGCAGAATGTGGGATTTTGTGGAGATGTTTAAATATATAGGGAGAGGAGGAAAAAAAGTTCAAGATACAAAATACACAGGAATGCTTAATTCCTTTATTTGAAAATGTTGCGGTAGCACTGCATTACATATATTCAATATCCACAGTTTTTGAAGGATCATAGAATTTTGATAGGACAACACTGTTTGGAATATATAACACATGTTTCTGACAACTATAATGAATAAATTGCAGGTAACATGACTGGGATAGTTCAGGTATGAAAAATCTTTTGCTTGAAATGTGCAAACGCCCCATCTCTTAGTAAAACTATCTTTCAATCATCCTTAAGTGTTTCAGTGTGTTAGGTAATAGCAGCTCGTTGTTATAGTTGTGATCTATCAGTAAAATGGATGGTTAGAATATCTATTGGAAAGAAATGCAAAAAACTACTGTCCCAGGTCTTAGCATATATCGTAAGGCTAAAAACCAAGGCTATTACTTCTGTGCTGGAGGATTAAGTTTGTACAGTACATGTGATAGATGCAATTTACTCTGCTTTATGTACATGCTGCAGCAAGCTTCTGTTACCAACATATTTTCCTTTGCAACTACATACTCCAAAACCGATGTGTGTTTTGCCCTATGTGATTATATACACCATTTTGTAAACACTTCACTATATCAGGTAGTAAATTATACAATAAGCTTAAGATTCAATTGCTAAATTCCCTTTAATTTCTGCACATAAAAGGTAATAGGAAAGTACAATTATTTTTTGCAATCTAATCAGTTCATATAAAGTGAAAGAATGAAAACACAATTTCATCAACCTTGGACTGATTCTAATATATTTATGTCTACTCCTGATTATTCCTATGTTAGCTGAAAATAATGTGAATGCGACATTGCTAAAAAGCACCAAGCTTTAATAACAAGCTGACAGACTAGATGGATTTTGCACAGATGCTTGGTGAAGGTACCTAAAACATTGCAGACAAAGAGTAGGATCAACACTTGCACCGAAGTACACTTTTTTAAAAAAAAATCCCTACTCACGTCAACTTAATTTGACTTTTTTAAAAGAAATGTCAACGACACCAAATCTTCTGCTATAAACTTTAGGAACAGCGTTTACAATAGAGAGAAGCACAAAAACAGAAAAACATTTTGGATTAATTTGTAGCCCAATTCTTATCAAACGAATGAATATTCCCAGCTATGTCTCCCACTAAATGTTTAGTTATATGTAAATGTGGTCCAAATAGATTTTTTAACAAGAAAGAAATATAGTTATTTTGCTTAAAAAACAAAATATTGAACATATTCAGGTAATCCAATTTTTTTGAAAAGTTAATGTAAGGAAGGGCTACACAGTGCTAATGGTTTTTTCTAGCAAAGGTTTTAAGTAATGTGCAAGGAATTACTTAAAAGTTCACTTTCTGCTTCAAACTATATGACTTCATTATCCAAAGGCATTTCTATCCTAACTAACAACCAATTAAAAACAGAATCTCTCTCTCTCTCTGAACATATCCTCCAATTGAAAGAATAACAAAGGGCTCTAGCAATGCACCTGTTTGAAATAATCCAGAATAATGTGTTCTGTCAAAAAACAAGATCCCAAAACTAATTGCAACCAATAACTAAGATGTTTTTACAAAATTAAAAAACAAAATATAAAAACAATTAAGAAATCATTTTTTTCCACCACTGTTTTAAGATATTACTTCAAATGATAAATCTTTCTAGGAATTCTGACATTTGAAATATTAAAAGAAAAACGGGCCTAGTAATATATTTTACAACCAATAAATATACTTAAAAATATCTTTAAGTGCTGTATACACAATTACTACTCTGTCAAGTAAACTACCACTGTAGAATTTGGTAATGCAACTATTCCCTCTTTTTGGTTTTCACTTTCACTGAATAAAAATACGCAGAGAATATACTATACAGCTCTATGTTTTTCCACAATATTCTTTCACAATTACAAAAAAAAAAAAAGATACTTTTTAAACAAGCTCATATATACACACACATCACAATTGTCTTCCATAAACATCTTGCATTCATACTGCAGAAATGGTAGCAGGACAAGAATAAGTTATTAACTAAATTGCCTTTTTTAGTATAAACCAATCTCTCCCATTTTTGCCTCAAAATCTTGTATAACCATTAGACCAGCCTGTCTTCCAGGGCTATTCTATCACAAAACAATTACATTCCACTTTTTGATGTCCACTGGGTGCTCAGGAAAGCAAAGTCCATTTGTTTAAGGCAACAAGATCATTCAAAAGTCCATACTTCCAGATCCTGTACAACAAAGTCTTCTTTTTTGGACAGGATATCATTGTTGAATGTGTTGCAAGAGTTGCTCCGACCATGATATAAATCAGCATCTAACCATAATCCAAATTTGCCACTGTAAAGAAAAGAAAATTAACTAGAAAGTTTTGTTTGTTCAGTTGTAGGCAAAAATGCAGCAATTTTTTTTTGTTTTGCATTTCAGTGTTCCAGTTATGTTAGTAAGAAGACCAATAAGCACTAAACTTCTTCAAGTAGAATGAGCACAATAATACATTTGGGTGATTTCTGCTGTTAATTTTTAACCAAAAACAAGTTTTCTCTGATAGCAACCTTTTTTTTAAAAAAAAAGAAAGAATATGGAAACTTAAAATATTGTTCTGTATTTAAACATACGGAACAATACCAATAAACCACAGAGACTTCTAATGTTAATAGTATGAGGCAAGCATATTTGTTTTATTTCAATTTCTGGACTACTTAATCAAAAGAAGAGTATCTTTATCCATTGGGTATTTATGTGTCAATGAAAAGCAGGAACTACAGCTAGTCCTTGTTTAACAATCATACATTTAGCAACTATTTGAACTTAAGACAGGATTGAATGAATGGTACTCGCCCATTCCCCAAAATTACAGGCATGCATCCTTTGATCAAAATTCAGGCCCTTGGCGCAGCCTGCCTATAGTTACAACTGCAGGGGCATTTCAACTTCCCAGCCAGCGTATCTCTCCTCCATCTCTGCTCTATTTCCCACTCTGTAGCAGCTCTCCTCTGCAGCAACAGTAGTGCTGGGATTGAATTAGAGTGCCTTTAGCAGTTTCAGCCAGCCTCTATTTCACTCCAGCATCGCTGCAGAAGAGTGCAGTTTCAAGCCAACCAGCTGCGTGCCACACCAGAGCCACTCCCACCGCCCTGTACGCCACAGGCCCTGCCACGCCCAGCTGACTTTCACCATCTTCCTTCTGCTCATGATGCTACGAAGGTCTTGGAAGCTTTCTGGAGGCTTTCCTATGCTTCATGAGTGTAGTGCACAAAACCTGAGGAAGAAGGCCTGATGTGGTCAGCAACTGCCTTGTATAGAGCCAGGCCAGGCATGCTTCATCAGAAGCAGGAGGAAGAAGGCGAAGGTCAGCTAGGTGTGGTAGGTCCTGCAAAGTGCAGGGTGATGGGGCCTAGTGGGGTTTTGCTATGTGATACTGGAGTGACTAGCTCCAGAGTTTGAAGTCGTACTTCAAACTGGTGGCAGCGGCACTGGGACTGAAGTAGAGGCCCAGGGACGATCACCCAAAGACTACTGAAGGCCCCAGGCCTCTACTTGCTTCTCTCCTTGATTAGTTTCCACCCATTGCTTGTCCTGCCTTCAGGTGCTTTGGAGAATAGCTTGACTCCCTCTTCTTTGTGGCAATCTCTGAGATATCAGAAAACTGCTATCATGTCACCCCCTAGTCCTTCTTTTCATTAAACTAGACATACCCAATTCTAGCAACCATTCTTTATGTTTTAGCCTCCAGGCCCCTAATCATCTTTGTTGCTCTTCTCTGCACTCTTTCTAAAGTTTCAACATTTTTTAATTGTGGTGACCAAAACTGGATGCAGTATTCCAAGTGTGGCCTTACCAAGGCATTATAAAATGGTATCAACACTTCACATGATCTTGATTCTATCCCTTTGTTAACGCAGCTTTTTTGGCAGCTGTGGCACACTGCTGGCTCATATTTAAGTGACTGTCCACTAGGACTCCAAGATCCCTCTCTCAGTTATTACTATTGAGCAAGGTACCTCCTATACTGTACCTGTGCATTTGGTTTTTCTTGCCTAAATGTAGAACCTTACTTTTTTCACTATTGAATTTCCTTTTGTTAGATAGCGCCCAATGTTCAAGTCTGTGAAGATCCTTCTGAATCTTAAGCCTATCTTCTGGAGTGTTGGCTATTCCTGACAGCTTGATATCATTGCAAATTTAATGAGTTTCCCATATAGCCACTCATCCAAATCATCGATGAAGATGTTGAACCTTGGGGTACCCCACTGTATACTTCCATTCATGTAGATGCAGTTCCATTGAGGACTAATCGTTGAGTATGGTTGGTCAGCCAGTGACGAATCCATCAAGTGGTGATGTTGTCTAACCCACATTTTTCTATCTTATCAAGTAATAGTATTATTATCTATCTCATCTTCTTATGACTATAGCTTTGTTGCTTGTATCTTACAAGTTATATTGTTTACTTAGTATCCTAGTATGATTTATGTTGATTGCTTATTTAGTATCGTATGACTATCACTAAGTGTTGTATCTTATTGATTTATGATGAATGTATTGTTATGATGACTATGATCATGATTTATCCATTGCTTGTATGTACACTGAGAGCTTATGCACTGGAGACAATTTCTTTGTGTGTCCAATTACACTTAGCCAATAAAGAATTCTATTTCTATTTGTAAAAAGGCAAAGATGGCAGGGAAAATGGGCAGATGGGAGACTTAAACAAGAAGCAGTCCTTTTCCTTGCCAAGGCTTGGGGCTGGGAGGAACCAAGCTGAGAATGGCTTGGATCAGGTGAATCTTCATCAAATGACAGGTGGAATTTAGTTAATGAGGGCAACACAGATTGCTGGGATTGTCATCACTAAGCAGTGCATTGTGTTTTATGACCACATTGCTTAGCAAAGGAAATTCCAATATGATTACTGTTGTTACTGTTGTTAACCGAAAACTACACATATGCACCCAACCAAAGCTTCATTCATTGGTCTCTTAGAAAAATCATTTTTGAAGCATAGTTGGCTGGAAACACACAGTTCTCACCAGTACAATTCGTAATTTCAGAAATGTAAATAACTTACTCTCCACCACCAAATTCTAAAGAAGTGACATCTCCATTGATAAAATAGGTGTTTTCTCCACTCCACTTAAAATCCTATGGGAAATAAGGCATTAATATTAACAGGGAGATCATGCTAGCAAAGCAATGTGCACATTGTCTTATTAGATCAGGAGGAACAAAACTAAGAGGAACAAAAGAAGAAAGAGACACATAGTCCTTGGGTTACAACCACTCATTCAGCGACCATTCAAAGTTACAATGGCGCTCAACAAGTGTTATTACAACTGGTCTTCAAAATTCCAGCAAGTTGCAGCACCTCTGTGGTCACATGTTAGCATACTTAGAGATCAAAGAAGAAACCCAACAGATGAGCTAATTCTATAGATAATCCTCAACCCTATGACCATTCATCCAGCAACAGTTCAAAATTACGACGATGCTGAAAAAAATGAATTTACAACCGGTGTCTGAAATTACAGCCACTGTAATGTCCCTATAGTCACGTGATCAAAACCTAGGTGCTTGGCAGCTCGCCAGCATTTACAACCACAAAGGTACTGCAATCTTTCCCATCCACCAATCTCCCCACGATATATGTCCTTTTGGCTGCCCTGTCCACAACCTTCAACTTAAGCCCAACATTGCCACTGCCACTGAGAAATGCCATCTCGATCACTCACACCACAGCCAACCATGTCAGCAACATTACATAAAGATTACATAGAGCCGTGGTGGCACAGTAGTTAGAATGCAGTACTGCAGGATACTTCTACTGACTGACTGCAATTTGGCAGTTTGAATCTCACCAGGCTCAAGGTTCACTCAGCCTTCCATCCTTCTAAGGTGGATAAAACGAGAACTCAGATTGTTGGGGACAATATGCTGACTCTGTAAAATCACTTAGAGAGGGCGGTAAAAGCACTATATATAAGTCTAAGTGCTATTGCTAAAGCCCCAGTTTCCCTCACTGCTCTATACTCCGTAGCTTCTGCCACACCCAGCTGAGTGTCTTTTTTCCCCCATGGCTCACAAGGCATAGGTTGTGTGCTTGGTTGTGTGCAAGGCAGCTGCTGGGTATACCACGTCCCCATGACTCCATCCCTGCTGGCCTTTCACAAGGCATAGAAGATCTGGATATATGCCTCGGCCTAGGAAGCCAAGTGTGTGAAGGGACCCATTTCCTGATTATATTGATATCCATAATGATAATTATTCTTGGCTGCCATATATTTTACTTTTGAACTGTACTGTATCTGCTTTTAATTGGTTTATGATTGTTTATCACCTAGAGTCAGTTTCTGAGATAGGCAGCTATAGAAATTTAATAAGCAAATAAACAAACAAGTGTTTGACTACTTCTGAATTATCCCACCACTCTTGGCTCACAAACTAATATCATTACATTCAAAGAGCACATCAAACCAAAACTAAACACACGGACACACATATGCACGTGCACACATCTTCAAAATTTTAGCATGATCACATTGTTCTCATGTAAATCACATTGTTCTCATATAAAAGCTTTCAATTGTATCCAGAAACATACCTTGAAAATAGGATTGAATGTGTACAGAAAAGTTTCTCCAGTACCATAATAGTGGTCACTAAGTCTGAAAGCATGAGTTGCGTATGCCCCAAATATCTGCCAAAATAGTATGTAAAACAGATATAATTTTAATGTTGAGATAAAAACATATTTATGGCCAATCTACTAAGTGCACAAATGAAAATTATTCTGCATGTCACATGAATGCAGTTCATAGGTGGAGATATGAATACTAAACTATCAGAAACCAAGAGCTTGTAAATCCTTAGCTTCATCTCTCCGTATTCCTACATAAAACAGGCCAAATATACCAAAGAGTTTTTCATGTCACCTTGTGAATCAGACTTGGCAACTTTTAAAATTACATCATTTCCAATTAGCATAGGAATACAGTAACAGGTTGAAGAAGGCAGTAGTAAAAGAAACCTAAATCAATGTAAATAGTTTTTACAGTGAAAAACTCAGAGGATTTGCATATAACAAAGTATCTAATTCAGCCTTCTATCAGCCTAAATCTTTTTTTAAAATTCAAAATCTGATATATATATAAAAAGAAAAAGCGGGAGGGAGAGAGAGAGATGCAGAAATATAAAAGAAAATTCTGAGAAGAATGGAAGGGAGCTACCTGGTTGTCCATGTCTCTGATGACTAATAAAACTGGACTATCAAGAGAAGATGATTTACGATACAGAGTTTTCAAGCTGGTTCCATGCTCTTGTGTACTGTAGACAAGCTTCCATGGATATCCCTGCACTCGAGCTGGGAGGGACTGAGCAAGCTAGAACAGAAAAGAAAATGCTGTTCTTGAAAAGGCAACATGTTCCTTTTGTCAGGTATTATGAGTAAATTTGCTGTTAACAATCTATCTTATATTCACTAATATGCAGTAAGTGAAAAAAAAATGTGGGTTTTTTTAGTCAGGACAACATATAATAACCATCATAAGAGGGACAACATCATCTGATGTTGAATTAGGCAGTGAGGATTACTAGTATAGTTTTCCTACTGGATCAAAAAGTTCAATTCTTTTCATTTAAAATGTGGCGCCTTGGATTTGATGTTGCATTTTCAAACAAAAGGCAATCATGAATTTAGAAAAACTGTCTATCCCATTATCCTTGGAACAGAATTCTGGCCTCTAGAAAAAAGAGAGGAGCCTTGATCTTATGCCAGGAAGTCTCAAAACTGGAAGAATCTTAGATGAGATTAAGGCTACAGCAGTGACTAAAATTACATCTGAAATTAATATAGAAAGCCTCAAAAAATGTAGATAAGGCACAGAACATGCAGGAAGTCCATTTTAAGATAAGGCAGCACATCTAGTTGCTTTACAGTGAGGCACTGAAAGGAGGATGTGGCCTATGGTCTTTTTTTAACTTTTAAGAGGAGTGATTAGTTAACAGATGTCTCTGTTAACAAACAAATAATTCCCTCAACACTGTCAAACTAGTTACTAAATCTGCATTACTATTAATCTCATCGTTCCTATCACTCATCTCTTCCCACTTATGACTGTATACTTGTTGCTGGTATCCTTAAGATTTATATTGACTGTTTCTCTATCACTATCATTAAGTATTGTACCTTATAAGTCTTGATGAATACATCTTTTCTTTTATGTACACTGAGAACGTATGCACCAAGACAAATTCCTTGTGTGTCCAATCACACTTGGCCAATAAAAAATTCTATTCTATTCTATTCTATTCTATTCTATTCTATTCTATTCTATTCTATTCTGCTCTGCTCTGCTCTGCTCTGCTCTGCTCTGCTCTGCTCTGCTCTGCTCTGCTCTGCTCTGCTCTACTCTACTCTACTCTACTCTACTCTATTTGATAGCTATACTTAATAAAAGTAATTTGTTATATAGTGATGGCATCTCTTTCAGGGATGGCTCTTGTTGTTTTCTTTCTATAGCTTACTTGCTGTATGGGTTCAATTGTCTTCCTGTGAATAAAAGGACTTTTTTAACCTCTTGAGGTGACCTCATTGTTCACCCTGGATTCAAAGTTATAGGGACAGTGTTGGGCCAGCAAAAACGACAGTGTTCAAGCTCTATTTGGAAATCAAAAAAACTGAAGGCATTTTTAAACTAACAAATGTATTATTTATTTGTGGGCTACACTCCATTTTATAGGCTATTTCAAAACCATGTGCCATAATAAACAAGTTGCTTTTAAAGAAGACCCTTGTAGCATCAAACTAACAAAGCTACCCATCTTGAATTTCAACATGCCGTGAAAAAGACAGTAACAACTCCAAGCAGAAAGAAATCATGATCAGCGTTTTACCTGTTCCACATGCATGTTTTCTAAAAGCGCACTTTGGTTTTTTAAGGTAGGCAAAGCATCATCTTCACCATCATCTTCACAGTAGCTGCAGACACTCTGTCGGCGTTTTGCCTCTTCTACAGTTATAATCTAGACAGATGAAAATGTGTTTACATCTTTCATAATGGTACATGAAAAGTTGATAAAGGAGAAAATGTATTCTATGCAGCAGTGTTTCTCAACTTCAGTAACCTGAACAGGTATGGACTTCAGCTCCCAAAAGCAGGCTGGCAGAGGAATTCTGGGAGTTGAAGTCCACACCTATTCATGCGCTGAGGTTGAAAAACACTGCTATATAGGGTTAAGAAATGAGAAAAATAACCTCAAATGTGCCACTGCTGAAGCACAAGGGATTTTTGCTGTAGAGATCTTGATAGAACTCATAAACACTTTTACAATAAACTATGACAAAGTTTAATGAAGTTGTAACAAGCTGTTAAACAGTTTGCACAATGACTTGCCAACCCCACTGCACTACAAAGTAGTTGTGTAAACATATAAAGAAGTTCAGGAAGCCTGCAAGTATCAAAAAAAGGAGATCAGGAAGCCTGCAAGTATCAAAAACTTTGAGCTAAGGGAAGGAAGTAACTCAATTTTCAGACATAGCATCCATATCTTTAATTCTGTTCACATGATAGAATTAAACATAAGAACTTCTATAAAATAATTTAAATTGTTCATCTCTTAGACATTTTTCTTTCTTTTCAGCAACAGCAGCTTTATCACTGCTATTTGAACTAATCAATCATGTAAGCAGTCAAATAAGTAATACCATGAATAGGAGAACCGGTTTATACAAACCAACACTTAAAAGAAATATTTAAAGTTTATATTTTAAAATTATATTATGCACATGCCATTTAAAATAGTTAGTTTCAAATGTGGCTATGAAGAAAACATTCAGGCACATTTCTAAATTAAAAACATTTAAATAAAATATTATAACTTTACTATTAGCTTTATAACATTACTAGGTCAATTCTTGCCATTGAATACAATAATGAGATTACAAAACATAGGCTGTGAGCTAAATAAGGACACTGTCTAACATCGCCAAATATTGTCAATTGACATGTGAGCATCTGATTGTCATGTTAAAGTTTCTTGACAATGCTGTAAAGCTTTTTTGAACTATTAGATGAGACTAATCCAGAATAAGATGCCTTAAAAGGTAAGATTGTGGTATTAGTCAGCATGTATTCCATGAAAATGTTCTATAACAAGACTTTTATTTTAGAGAAAATTACTGTGATGACCAGAATTTATTTTCTATCATTTTATGGAGTATCTATTCTCCGAAATAACCATTCATATAATTAGATCAGATGCTAATTTATTCAATAGTGTAATCCTACAGCCTAAGCTTCATTTCAAGTTTGAAACATAAACTGGCATTATTTTTAATCAATTGGTTTAGTTTATCATTAAAGTTTCTCAATATTGGAGAACTGTAGTGTTTTGCTCACAATGAGTTATATGAATAATAACATCAGTTACTAATCACCAATAGTGATCAAAATATTAATATAAAATAATTATAAAAGCAGGATATAGGAACAAAAAGGAAGTTAATATATTTACCAATCTGGAAAAAAAAATGAACCGATTTTAAGCAATTGCATTTCAAAGACAGAATAGATTTTAGGTTAAAGGTAATTCTAGTCCTCAACTAAAAATAAAACAATGATCAAAAGAACATACATTAAAAAAAAATACTTCATAATAGGGGAAAAATAGGAAAATTAAAGAATGAAAATAATCAGAATCAGGAATACATTTTGAAGCTGTTTGTATACTCAGTGACCAAACGGTTAAATCCAACTAATCCCAACAGGACTGATTTGAACTCAGACATTCAAAAGAAAGAAATTCAGAAGCATGTAGCATGAACCCAAATAAGCTGCCTTTCCTGAAAAACGTGATATGGAAATTATCTTAACATTCTCAGGCACGTGCTAAACAAATCAGTAAACATCAGTTTCTTCTAAAACTGCCTTTCCATTCTGCCTGTGAACTTACAACTCTTCCACATGTGCTCAGTTCGGTGTTTTGTTGCTAACGAACAAAAGAACTGGGGGAAAAGTCAGAGAGATTTCAGCAGATTTTCATACCTGCACAAAAGGTTCCTGTTCTTCCTCAGGCCTAGCACAATACAGAATTTGAAAATTCAAAGCCATTCCCTTAACTCTCATTTTTAGCTTCGGTTCCTTTCCCGGTTTCAAGGTCTGCTCACAAAAAGAAACTGCTGCTACTCGCTTGGAGAATGAAAGCATTCAGTCTATACTTCCTTGAAGAACTAACTTTCGTTTTCCTCTGTATATGACAAAGAGTAACCTGGCAACCTTAAATTCAGAGGAATTGCCATAGAAATGTACCCAGGCAGTTGCTGCAGCTAATTTATATTATTTTGAAATTAATTTGCATTCTCTGACTTGTGAAGACCAGGCTTACTTATTACCATTCCAGGAAGCTATAATGGGAATATGTAATATAATTCCGTCTCATTGACTTATTACTGGTATTACTCTTCAAATCCATCTGATTGAACAGGCTTAATTATCATTACTGTATGAATATTTTTTATTATGGTCACTGACCAGAATTGCAATGAAAAACACCTTAAAATAAAATAAAAACCAAGTAAGATAAACTATTACAATTGGTGGTGGGTTCATCAGTACATCATAAAAGTCTGTCTAATTGTACAGGCAGTACAATAAAATTTAGCTATATTGAAGGAAACCTAGCATTATTTAAGAGAAATTATTTTCCTGACAACTACAGAAATGTTCCTGATCACATTTATGAACCTCAATATAAAAACGCCTACTAAATTGCAGGCTATATCCAGATATCAAAACAAATAAATAAATTTAATTATAATTGATCAGCATGCTGCTATAAGTTGCTCAATTTTTGGCCCTTTTCTACAAACCACTGTTAATTAAGCCTGAATAGCCTTGCCTATGACCTATTATTATGGGTGCAGTAGTTTGTGATTTAATAGGTCAAAGTTAGAAGCCATTGTTTCTTCAGCTGAGACAGCCTTGTTTGGAAAGAAACAAACCAATGTTTTCGATTCACAAATCAGGCTATCTTAGGGTTTGTTTAAACTCTATAAATTTTTCTACAAATTTTACGGTATTCTGATTAAATATCTGGTTTTAAATTAAATAATGTAATGTCTCTACTACCTTTAAGAAACTACTCCTATATTAAATAATAATAGAACAATAACATGAAACAATAAAGGATACCGTACTAAGTTAATTTTCAACATTCTTCTTCAGACACATGAAGAGGGGTTTTTTCAAGAACTGGCTTTGTTCCAGCAAACTTTAGTTGCTATCAATAACGTAACAATCAGCAACTGCCTGGCTAAGACCTTCATTGGGAGTTAACAGATTTTATAAAACAAAAAGAATGTTGGGTCTTCCTCCCATCACACCCAAAACACAGCTGTTCAATTGGCGCTCTTATATGTGGGCAATCAATGTAATTTTGTTGTTGTTGGGTCAATTTTCGTTTGAGTCAAACTTAACTCTGCATGTCCCAAAGATTATTTTTTAAGATGCAATTGGACTTTCTTTTTTTTTTCTTTGAAGATGTTTCGCTTACCGTCCAAGAAGCTTCTTCAGTTCTGAAGTGAAGTAGGTTCTTGGATGAGAAACAAAAGTCTTCAGATAAAAACAAAGAAAGTCCAGTTGCCTCTTGAAAAATCACCTTTGGGATAACCACAACCTAGATGACAGAGAATCTCCATAGATACTTAACTCCAGATAACTTCATGAATAAATCCATATGGTTTTCTTGCTAAGAATTACTGATTACAGAAGTGGTTTTGACCAGTTGTTGAGAATGGAAGATAGTAAAGTTAAAGAAACAATGGCTGGTTTATTGTACCGTATTTTCCGGCGTATAAGACGACTGGGCGTATAAGACGACCCCCTACTTTTCCTGTTAAAATATAGGGTTTGGGCTATACTCGCCGTATAAGACTACCCCTCTTCCAACGCACACCAAATAAAAATTAAAAAACATCAGATTTGATTTCAATATGGTAATTTTAATTCAAATGCTTATGACACGCAGGTACTTAGCAGGAAAACTGTCACTTATAAACATAAGGCTGTTTGTCATCAAACATGTCAACATAAAACAGTGCAATTGGATTAAACTTTTCCTAATTCACTCTAAAGCTGAAAGGAAGGATAAGACAATAAACCCATGGGAGCTGCCATGCTGTTTGTTTTCTAAGCTGTCAACCAAACTGGAACTGATGATGATAGGAGGAAGATAACAATCAATAGAGAGCCAGTGCTGGGCAAGTCCCTGGTGAGTCAGTAATGCCCATCATAACTGCAAGCTATTTTTACAGGTTTTGCTGGCGTGACAGTTTCCCTTTAAAAGCCTTCAAAATCCTCCTGTTCGTCATCTGATATCATAAGTACATCAAGGACATCTTGTGATACATTTGTAAGGCAGTCATCATATGGATCTAATTCCGTATCAGATGGTGTGGTCTCAGCTTCGGCTTCCTCTTCATCTTGCCACAAGTAGTCGTCCTCCATACCATCTAATGAATTTGATATGCCACACTTCTTGAAAGACTTGATTACTGTTTCTGCATCAATATCATTCCAGGCTTTTATGACAAACTTGCACAAAACATCCAACTGATCCGGATCGGCGCCAAGCCAGGAAAGTGCACTGCGCACTCCCACCCTTCGCCTGCGAGCCCGGGCGCTGATCTGGCTTGGACTGCGGGAGCTACGGCAGTGCTGGCCGGGCTGGGTCTGGTGCGGTGGGCGGAGATGAAGGAGCAGCCTCGGCGGCAGCAGCAGCAGCAGCTACAACGGGCGTTGATCCGGATGGCTGCAGAAGGGACTGGGCACCGGCTGTCATGTCTTTTCTGCTGTGCGGGGTTCGGCACCTAGGCTCCCGGGGTTTAAGCCTCCGGGCCGGCCCGTGCTGCTCCAGGATGTTCGCTTCGGGCTCCTTGGAATCGCTGCTGGGCGGCAGCGATCGGCGTCGCTTGGACTGCGGGAGCCACGGCGGACTCCTTCCCCATGAGGTATTGCTCTGCATTTCACCACCTCTTCCAGGCTCGCAGCCACCCACCATCGCCCCAACGGGAAGAACCACCCAGCAGCGATTCCAAGGAGCCTGAAGCGAACATCATGGAGCAACACGGGCTGGCTCAGAGGCTTAAACCCCAGGAGCCCAGGTGCCGAAACCCGCACAGCAGAAAAGACATGACAGCCGGTGCCCAGTTCCTTCTGCAGCCGTCCAGATCGGCGCCAAGCCAGGAAAGTGCGTTGCGCACTCCCACCCTTCGCCTGCGAGCCCGGGCGCCGATCTGCCTGGACTGCGGGAGCCACGGCGGTGCTGGTCGGGCTGGGTCTGGTGCGGTGGGCGGAGATGAAGGAGCAGCCTCGGCGGCAGCAGCAGCAGCAGTTACAATGGGAAAAGCCGTGGAGAAAGGAGGACGAGGAAGATCTGGCAAGGTGGTGCGAGCACTTCATGGCTCCTCCGGTGAGCGGATTGCGAGAGCTGCGCGACTGGGGCGGAGACATGCGAAGTCACATGGAGCTTCTCATAATGGAGACGCAGAGCCAGGTGTGCAAGGCGCTGGCCCAGGTCGACCGCAGCACCGCTTTCACCGTGGACTGCTGGGAAAGGAAGGAAGGTGACCCGAATTCCGGGGTAGAGTGGCGACGCGTTCCTTTCTCGTGGGCCACGCTCTGCCTGGCACCTCTTGTAGGTTGGAACTAATTCGGAGTACAGCTTCCCCTCAATGTTGCCGGCGCTCCCAAAGTGTCATTGGTCAGCGCCAGCAACTCAGATTCGGGTACCCGGCGTATAAGACAACCCCCGACTTTTGAGATGATTTTCCTGGGTTAAAAAGTCGTCTTATACGCCGGAAAATACGGTAATAAAAGGTAAAATAAATTATGGTCTTGGAGCTACAAAAACTTATTAAGTTAGTTAGTTAGTTTATTATATTTGTATACTGCCCTTCTCCTGAGGGACTCAGGGCGGTGAACAGCCATGGTAAAAACAATGTACAACAAAAATTAAAAGCTTATTAAAATAATTCCATCATTCGGCCAAATTTAAAACATCCAACTAACATCATTTTAAAACCCCTATCAAAACCCAATTTAAAAAACCTTTATCCTGTCAGTCCAGCTTGCTGGAATAATAGGGTCTTCAGAGCGCGACGGAAGGCACGGAGGTCGGGATCCTTCATATGTCCAGGGGCAGTTCATTCCATAGGGACGGGGCCCCCACAGAGAAGGCTCTCCCCCTGGGGGTCGCCAGCCTACACTGTTTGGCTGACGGCATCCTGAGGAGGCCCTCTCTGTGGGAACATATTGGTCGGTGGGAGGCAATCGGTGGCAGAATGCAGTCCTGTAGATAACCAGGTCCTAAGCCATGGAGCGCTTTAAAGGTGGTAACCAACACCTTGAAGCGCACCCCTTAGAAGACCACCGGGAGCCAGTGCAGCTCGCACAAGATGGATGTTACATGGGAGCGACGAGTAGCCCCCATTATTACTCGTGCGGCTGCATTCTGGACCAGCTGGAGCCTCCGAGTACTCCTCAAGGGGAGCCCCATGTAGAGAGCATTACAATAGTCCAGCCGGGAAGTGATGAGGGCATGAGTGACTGTACGCAGGGCATCCCGATCCAGAAAGGGACACAACTGGGAAATCAGACGAACTTGATAAAAGACCCCCCTGGCCACGGCTGTCATATGATCCTCCAAGGACAGCCATGAGTCCAGGAGGATGCCCAAGTTGCGAGCCCTCTCTGAGGGGGGTAAGATCTCATCCCCAATAGCCAGCGATGGTGTCAGCTGGCTATATCGGGCCGTCGGGAGCCACAGCCATTCAGTCTTGGAGGGGTTGAGTCTGAGCCTGTTCCTCCCCATCCAGATCCGCATGGCCTCCAGGCAGCGGGACACCACGTCAAGGGCATCATTGGGGTGGCCTGGGGTAGAAATGTACAACTGCGTGTCATCGGCATACAGTTGACACTTCACCCCAAAGCCACGGATGATCTCGCCCAGCGGCTTCACATAAATGTTAAACAGAAGAGGCGAGAGGACCGATCCTTGCAGCACCCCACAAGTGAGGAACCTCAAGGTCGACCTCTGCCCCCCCCCATCAACACAAACTGCGTACGGTCAGAGAGGAAGGAGGAGAACCACCGTAGCACGGTGCCCCCCCACTCCCACCCCCTCTAGCCGACGCAGCATGATATCATGATCGATGGTATCAAAAGCCGCTGAGAGATCTAGGAGGACCAGGACAGAGGAGCGACAGGACGGCCTGTCCCGGGCCCTCCAGAGATCATCAACCAATGCGATCAATGCCATTTCCATGCTGTAACCCGCCCTGAAGCCTGACTGGCACGGATCTAGATAGACAGCTTCATCCAGGAATCGAGGAAGTTGTCACGCCACCACACTCTCAACAACCTTCACCGCGAAGCGGAGATTGGAGACAGGACGATAGTTAGCTAATACAGCCGGGACCAGGGAAGGCTTCTTGAGGAGGGGCCTCACCACCGCCTCTTTCAGGGCGGATGGGAAGACCCCCTCACTCAATGAAGCATTGGTAATCTCCTGAAACCAGCCTCGTGTAACCTCCCGGGAGAACAGCACCAACCAGGAGGGACACGGGTCCAGTAAACATGTGATAGCATTAAGCCTCCTCAAAATCTTGTCCACGTCCTCAGGAGTCACATGGTCAAACTCTTCCCAGGAGACACTCTCAAGACTCACCTCCGTCATCCCGTCCGAGGCTATCCAATCGGAGTCCAGGCCAGCCTGAATCTGAGCGATTTTATCATGCAGGAATTGTCCAAAATCCTCAGCTCTACCCTACAAGGGATCCTCCCTCGCTCCCACCCGTAGGAGAGAGCGGGTCACCCTAAACAAGGTGGCTGGGCGGTTCTCTGCAGATGCAATAAGAGTGGAAAAATAGTTGGATTTTGCCACTCTTATCACCACTAGGTAGGTCTTGATATAAGACCTCACCAGTGACCAGTCCGATTCGGTACGGCTGGACCTCCAATCGCTCTCTAGGCGTCTTTTCCAGCGCTTCATGTCCTTCAGCTCCTCAGAGAACCAAGGAACTGGTTGAGATCGGCACCGAGTCAGAGGCCGCAAAGGCGCAACGTGGTCCAAGGCTCCAGCAGCACCCTATCCCAGGCGGCCACCAGTTCTTCAGCCAAGTCACGAGTCAGAGTCTCTGGGAATGGCCCAAGCTCCGTCAGGAACCTCTCAGGGTCCATCAGGCGCCTGGGACGGAACCATCTGGTCGGTTCCGTCTCCCTGCGATGAGGGGAAGTGGTTCGAAAGTCTAGCTGAAGGAGCGAATGAGCTGTCCATGACAAGGGCTTAATAACTAGGTCTCCTATTGTAAGATCATTCAACCACTGACCAGAGACAAAAATCAAGTCCAGCGTGTGTCCCCCGATGTGGGTGGGGTCATGAACTAACTGGGTCAGGTCCATGGCCGTCATGGAAGCCATGAACTCCCGAACTGCTTCTGAGGTTTCACTGACGGATGGCAGGTTGAAATCCCCCATGACCAGAACCCTGGGGGTATCCACTGCTACCCCAGCTATTACGTTGAGCAGCTCAGGCAGGGCTGCTGTCACGTGGCAGGGAGCCAGATACGCAATCAACAAACCCATCTGCACCCCATGACCCCACTTCACAAGGAGGAATTCACAGCCGGCTATCTGAGGAACAGTGGCCTCCCTCGGACTAAGACTTTCTTTAATAATCACCGCTACCCCCCGCCCCTCCCCTGGGCCCTCGGATAATGAAATGCATGGAAGCCTGGTGGGCACATCTCTACGAGGGGAACCCCCCCCTCGTGGCCCAACCAGGTCTCCATAATCCCTGCCAGATCCGCACCCCCCTCCTGAACTAAATCATGAATGAGGGGGGCTTTATTAGTTGCAGACCTGACATTACACAACAGCAGCCAAAGGTTCGGGCCCTGAGACTCTGCACAACCTGGAATACAAGAGGCGTCTTGAGGGCCGGAGAATGCCACCGCTCGTAGGCAGCAGGTGCGTACTCCCCGAACATGATATGGCCCCCTGCGCCTGCCATATCTGCCCCTCCCACCCACTATTTTGATGGAATAGCCCTTCACCTCAGCCCCCGGTTCCCTATCTAAATCCCTTCCCTCTCTCCTCCCGCCTTGACCCTTAGACCCACTCAGCCGCTCAGAGGTTCTGTGGACCCCCCCCAGGTCCTTCCCACCCCTTCAAACCCCTTAAAAACTTTACACAAGCCTTCGTTAAAAAATCCCTCACCCTCTTTTTTGCTGCAAATTAAGTCTCATTAAGAATGAGTCTCATTAAGAATGAGACTGAAATATAACTGATCAAAGAGCGAGAAAAATAACTAAGGAAATTCGGTGGGGCAGGAGGAAATTTTCCAAATGAAACTAATACTAGTTTGAATGAAATTTATCTGATAAACTCCTATCTTGAAATTGAACAATATGTGACAGGGAACTTTACTTTTGGCTCTGGGAATATTCATTCACTAAGCAAAAGATATTTCAGTAATCTTGAATCTTGTAAAATGGAGATTAATTAACATTTTGAATATTACAATAGAGAAGTGGCTTTATTTGATCTATGGCTAATCAGATGATATTTGGTGTAAAACTAGATTACAAAATTTATTATTTTTATTTAAGCATCATCTGTGAGATGCCCAGCTGTAAGAAAGTACTTTAAGAGCCAATATTCAAGTAGCATATAAAAGTTGAGAATCAAAACCTTTTATATTGTCTCTTCCCCTTATACCTGACACAATTATTTGTTTTTCAATTGCCAGTTGGCAAACACGAGAACTATAAACTGGACCAAAAAGAAACAATCCAGTGGCTAAGGGGATTACATGAAGCAGAAAACTGTTAATTACAATCTACTGTACAGTCTCAGATAATTCCAAATTCAAGAAACAAAACACTTACCTCCCAACTTTTTGTTGAAGGTTCACTGAAGAAATTGTCTATCATGTCAAGCTCCTCTTTTTCCACCACCACAAAACCCTGTTCCTTAGCATCTTTGCCATATACATCTGGAGACCACTGTACAAAAAAGGTATACAGATGATCTACCCTGTCAAACAAAACAAAAAAAAGTTAAGAGCGCTAAAAAAAAATAAACTGGAGGATGCAAATTCACTCAATTGCTAATCAAGTTTAGCATCTGTCTAAAGAAGATTTTGCTCAAGCATATAATGCCACCAGAGCCATCATTGTGGAATTTTACCCATGAGCTTTAAAGCTAGTCTTTTTTTATTGGCTGGGGACCAACAGCTGCTGGGAAATGACAGTTCCTGGTTTCTTGCAACACAAGATGAAATCATAGCAGGGATAAATCATCCTAGCCATCAGCCAACAAGCAAACATCTTTCTCTTCCCTCCTCCAAGTACATTTTGGTCTCTCCTATGAATAGTAGTTACTCAAGGCTGGGAGTTGTGCATCTATTGTGCAGAAAATATCTTTTATAGAAACATCAATAGTAAAGTGCCATATTAGTGCACAAGTAAACTAATGTATTCTGACAAAGTCATTTCTACTCATTTCTTCATCCACTAAAGCCATGCAGTTCTTCTAAGCCAACTTTACAGAAAGAACACTATATCATAAAGAATGAATAACTTAAGTTTGACAGACAGTGGTCAGCCCATTTAAAGGACAGATTCTCAGAAAAAGAAAACTATCAGCCTAGAGAGATCGTGGGAAAGACAATCTGTAAAGTTGACAAACTATAAATATTGTAATTCTTTGCAGCTGTACCTGCACTTCTAACTAAAATTGGATACAGTGAATAAGGAGAACTAAAATCCTACATGAAGGCAATAGAAATACAAAAGCCAGTTTCCCATAAAGTTTTGTAATAGAGTGACATTGTGCTTTAAATTGGCCCAAGATGAAACTTTATCTCTCATTTGGTTCCCAAAGCTTAATTTAACATTATTATCATGATCAAAGGCTTTCAGGTTAGAAATGCTAAGCAACACAAGTCAAAACAACCAAATGACCTGGACTGCCAACCTTTATACAGTCTCTCTCCTAATACTAATATTTGTACACACATAAGCTTCACCAAGGCTTATCCCAGGCGATAACAAAGCACCGGGCCTTGTTTTGCCCAGCAACACAAGGTAGCCAATGGAAACCCAGCAGGGTATCAATTTTGCATGAAACCGTGGAGCAAGGAGGCATCTCCCAAAAATATAGATTTAGTTTTAGTGTTTAGGGTCAGTTAGCCTTGACTTCTGCAGTTATTAACCCAAAAGGATGAGAGTGATAAAGACATTCCTCAATATTATCTTATTAACTAATTTTCTTATCTATTATGGTGTTTTTCTGAACTGGCAGCCTTTAATTTGCTTCTGTTTTTGTAATACTGTTTCTATAACTATAACAGTTTTGTTTTGTTTTATTTTATAGTTGTTTTAATTCCTGTTAGGTGTTGAGCATTGTTGGAATTGTCTTTTTCAAAAACAACATAATCGAAATTGACATAATAAATATAATAAAAATTATAATAAAAAACCAGAGGAGAATTCTGATAATCTTTTCTCCTAGGCGCATGCTTAAGGCACAAGTATACATGCATGCGTACTTAAAAATGCCCTGATATTACCAGCAACTTTAAAAGAGCCTGCAAGGTAATCCTTATTACCATATATTACATTAATGAAACTGTAGAGACTTTAGCTTGTGATGTTCCATACTACTCTTACTAAGGGTTTCAGCAATGCACATTGTCCCACGCTTTGACTGAACATTCTAATGCTCAACCAGAAACATAAAAGAAAAGCTGTGTTTCTTGTTGAGATATATGAACTGCATGGATCGATAGAAAATTGGCAAAGGCTGAACACTGCAACTTTTAAATAAAATCCATACTTCAGTTCATCTCAGAAATAAAATGTATACCATATCCAGGCTCCAGAATATTACTTTAGGGGCCAATTTGATGTGGTGGTTAAGGCACCAGGCTAGAAATAGGGAGGGTATGAGTTCTAGTTCCACCTTAAACACAAAGCTAGCTTGGGTCAGTCGCTCTCTCTCAGACCTAGGAAGCAGAAGGCAATGGCAAACCACTTCTGAAATCTTGTCAAGAAAACTGCAGAGACCTGTCCAGGCAACTACCAGGAGTCAAGACTGACTTGAAGGTACAAAAATAAATATTACTTCACCCTTTAAAAGCATTTGTAGCAGTTTCTATGTTTCAATACTTTTAAAGTATTTATTTATACAGAGTGATAACCAAACAGAGCTATAAACCACCAATCTTCTTTTACAGCAAGCACATAAAAATATAGCATAAAGCAAAATATTTATACTCACTCTGCAATGCTGTTAACATGCCCCATTGCAAGAAACACAATGAAGGATCTTCAGTCAGCTAGGTCAGATGCAATTGTATAACTGGGTCAACAGGAATATTTGAACAAAAGCCCTTATAAAGCACAAGTCTTTAACGATTACTACTCCTTAAGGTATGTGCAAAAAGATAAGGAGCATTCCTTAAGAAGGATGCCTATTTCACAATCACAGTGCAAGAGTGGTCAAGCCACTGTTTAATGCAGTTTCATTATCTGAGCTGATGCAGCTACATGTCTAAAATCACAACCAGGGCAAAACATTCAGCAGGCGACAACTGCAGTTAGGACATATTGCAGGTCATTGCAACATAAATCATCTAAACTGCTATGCAATCGGTCAGCAAACTTGTCAGCTACCTAATGTCATTTCCAGAGTACGTGCTATATTGAAGAAAAAAATAACCTCAGGAAACCTCTTAAAGACTAACAAATTTTAGCCGAACGCTCATTGCGCAGAGTCCACTTGCAAAATTTCATCAAGTGGCTATTCTGTTGTAAAGATTCTTAAAATCTCTTAACACACTGTAATGATGGGAGGACTGACATGTAACATGAGACATGTTAAATGTAACACACTAAGAGACATGACATTTCTTACTAAAGAACACTTTTGAACAATTCTTAGATGACAATTGAAATATGAAACACATCAATGAAAATGCTGGAGAGCATTACAGAAATAGCAATAGCACTTAAGACTTATATACCGCTTCACAGTGCTTTACAGCTTCCTGTAAGCCAGGAGTGTCAAACTCAAGGTCTGGCTCATGAGGTACTTAGATCCAGGCCACAGGGCCACCCTGGAAATAGCAAAGTCCGTGGTGTCTTTGCCAGCGAGAGCGAAACAGAGCTCCGTTTTCACTGGCAGAGGGTTGCAGGAGGCTGTTGCAGCTGAAAACGGACCTCACAAGGGCCACAGTGGCCCTCTTGAGCTCCATTTTCGCTGGCAGAGGAATGCAGGAAGCCGTTGCAGTCAAAAACAGAGCTCAGGAGCCCGTTTTGACTGGCAGAGTGCTTGGGCCACTACAGGTACCTCCGACACGAGTGATGTCAAGCTGGCCATGTCCCACACACCCCGAGATCAAACACAACCCTGATGTGACGCTCAATGAAATTGACTTTGACACCCCTGCTGTAAGCTGTTTACAGAGTCAGCATATTGCCCCCAACAATCTGGGTCCTCATTTTACCGACTTTGGAAGGATGGAAGGCTGAGTCAACCATGAGCTGCTCAGAATCGAACTCCTGGAGTGGGCAGTGAGTTAGCCTTGCATTACTGCATTCTAACCACTGCGTCACCATGGCTCTTTAGACTGAATATTCTCAAGAAGGGGGAAATTATCACTTTTTTTTCAAGGACAAATGACTATTGTTCAAGTTTATTTTAGATGACTTCATCAACAGAAGCATACGCTTTGATAGATGGCCACTGGGTTTCTGAAAACACACACACTTATACAAACTTTGAAAAGGACCCAAGAAGCATTTCACAAAGACCTTGAACATACCTTTCTCTAGGGACAGCAAACCAGTATTCTGGTTGCTTTCGTCTTTTATGATATTGTTGATCCATCACAGCTGACTGGGAAATGAAAGTCTTCCTCATAGGTGTGCCCACTTTGATGCACAGAAACATTGGTGGGGTCTTGCTTTTTTCCTCTTTTGAAGGAAGCATATCTGAATTCAAGAGATTGTCCAGTCACAATAAGCAACACAACAGATTAATAATGTAACAAATACTTACACAGAAATACCAATAAGTTTAATAATAAATCATACTACCCAGTTCTCCTACATAACAATCATTATGTTGCTAATCAATAAAATTGCAGAATTTCTAAAATTAAAAAAAAATCATAGAAAATATGGATTCTTCTTTCTGCTCCACAGGGAGAAATATTGGTGAGAGAATGTGAGAAGCCTATCTCAATGGCTACTTCTTAAGTCTTAGTTCCCTGTTAAGAGAAATTTGTTGAATTCCATCTCTGCTCTTTCATTATGAAAGTTTTTTTATACTTAAACAAAACTTTTGCCAGTTAGATTGTTAAACTGTAATCTACCATATGCTATTCTTTATTTCTTACTGATCATGTTTTACTTAACACATTGTAATGCCCAAGTTTTCTGAGAGAGAAAACTAATGTGAAATGCTCAAGCACTCATTCTGTATGTTTCCAGATAACTGCAGAAACATTTTCTTTGAAATTCAAGCTTTTACAAATAGTACACAAACATTACATCTGATACAAATGTTATGCCTCTATCTTGATGCGTGTCAGAGGAGAGAGAGGGGGGGGAGAGATAATATATGTATATTTCGCAGCAAGACCTTGGAAAAAGTTATTGTCATGACAATCCTAGAAATTAGAGCACTAAGAAACTCATCATATGTATACGGGCAGAGAAATAAGCAAGAAGTAATACATTCAGCAACTGTCTTGGTCATTATCCATAAGTCTAACAACAAAAGTATGATAGCAACCAATGTGTTGAATCAGTCTCTGAAGAAACATTTAAAAGCCTGAGTGACTGAAAGGTTATCTTTACTTCTGGGCGTTTGGTTAGCCTTAACAACAGAGAGGATTAGAGCTTAACATAAGAAAAACATGATTGTGCAGTATAATGGAAAAAGTTGTTTACATGCTAAGCAAGTTTTGTGTTGAATCATCCCCAGGCCCAATTTTAATTAATTAATGATGTAGCACAAGATTTATATGTACAGAATGGATATCAGGCTGAATCAAAAATTATTCACTTTATAAGGAAGGTAGACAAAGCGAAAACAGGAATTTAGGTTAAAAAAACTAAATATGACAAAAAGGCTTACCTTCAATGGGCACTTGGACTCTCTGCAACAGCCACAGTCTGACTTCAGAGTTCTTATCTAGATGAGATGTCAAAAAAGGAGTATCTAATCCTGCACATGTTTTTTTCTCTGCTGCTACTGGGCCAGCTTCCAACAAAGGCTCATTTCTTACAACAGAACAGGATTCAAGTCCTTCCTTTTTGACAGAAAGAACTTCAGTGGATTGGGATTTTGAAGAGCTAAGTGTGAGGTCTATGCCCACAGGCATATTGTTCTTTTCTTCCTTGACTACATCCTTAGGTAAGTAATCAATAGGCAATGGTTCATCTTTATCATGATTGAGATAAAATTCAATAAGCTTGTCTTTATTCAACTCTTTGTTTGCATCCAAGTTCATCTCTATTTTATTAGTTGGTGAACTTCCACCCTTGTTCATTTCAGGCATCGCATCCAGCTTTTCACAGGTGTCTAAATCTAGATCATCCTTAGAGAATTTATGCTTTACCCCAGATGAATCTAACACTGGTTGCTCATAATTGTCTTTGTTACTTGCTTGCAACTGAACCTCCTTTTTTGTCTTGCAATGATCCGTATGAAGATCAACTGTTCCAGCATCACTACAATCTATTTTACTATCAATCTGCAATGAGGTCTTGTCTACCTCAATAAAGCCATCTTCCTCCAGAAGGGAATTGTCTTTGGTTAAGTCCGAAGTTATATTTGATGCAGAACATTCTGCAGTATAAGTTTTCAAAGTCACCTGTTCTGAAGACTCAGGAGTAGTAGAGTCCTTTGGTGTTTCTACTGATCCGGATGTGACTAGGGGAGGACTTGCAGAAGGCTTCAGGAATTTGAAATCTGAAGACTTCTCTTTGTCTGAATATTTTATTGGTCTGGAATTAGGAGCAACAAAACTGTCTGGTTTCTGTTGCTTCTTTTCTTTGTTCATGGATTTAAATTTACTGAAAGGATTGATGTCCTTCTCAGAGGCAAGATCTTCCCATTCACCGGGCCTGTACAGAGGACAAAGATCCTTTGGAATATCGCTGCCAGGACAGGTGTAGGGTGTATATGGAGTATTAAAAATGAAGAACAAAATGAAAATAAATGAGAATACATAATCACTTAAATAAACTTAAATACTTAAAAATAATAAAATAAAATTCAAATATGACAACAAAAGAGACATCAACTGAAATGTACCAAAACAACATGGAAAGATCATGAATTAACCAAACAACTTTCTTCAAAATAAAATGAAAGTCAATTAAAATAAAGTAATTATAAAGTTGAAATAATTGTGGAAGTAGGGATATCAATTTATCCGAAGCAGCTTATTGATACTTTAAAAGAAGAAGGGACAAAAAAGAACCTTCAGGAGGCAAGGAAAGCAAATAAATTTCATCTCATCATGAGATATTTTTTTTTACAACATTGGAAAAAAAATTGGCAGCAGGCATAAAGATTCCTATTTTTCAAAGCCTATAATAACAAAAAATATTTAATTTTAATTATAGATTTATATCACAGCCCAACTGACATGTGACCCAGTCATGAAATCTTAACTGTAGCAATCACTACAGCAAGCACATACAAATATGTTTTTATTAAAATGTCTGGCATTTTAAATCAGGTTAACTGTCCAATTTTACTAAAATCAAAAATCAAAGCCATCTAAAAATAATAATTAAAAAATATTGTCAAGTCAGAGGAAAAAACCCCATTGCTTCCTCAATACCCGTGCTTCTTGGTAAATGTTCTGAAAAGTACAAGCATTTGTCTCTAGTGGAAATTATTATTTGATTATAGCTCTTTCTTGATGTCCCTTTAATATCTCCAATCCTAGAAGTTAACTTCTGCACAGTAAAGTTAAAAAAAAAATCTAAGACAACTGATTTCTCTGTTGTTTTTTGTTATCTTATGCTAAAACTTTAGTGGATGAAGCTATCAATGAAGACATGTTGGTGCTTCTATTTAAGAAATTTAGACATCAAAAGGTTAATTAAAATAACCATTAAGGAGAACAGTAAGGGAATAATAACTAATACCACTTTTCAATATAATGTTAGAACTGCTTAAAGAGGACAAATAGGAAGACCCATTCAAACAACATGAAGGCTTTGTGTGTGTTGTTGGGTTGTTGTTTTTTTTTCAGAAATCCAAAGCAATTTCTTTCTAGCGTTGCAAATCATAAAGTTATCCTGGATCCCTTTTTTCTGCTTATCAGTGTATTTCCAATGAAGTAATAGCGGGAAGTTACTCCCATTCCCAGAAAATGATTTCAAGATATGCTTTCTGACAGGAGAATCCATCATAGATCTCCTCCTTATAGCCCTTAGCCAAGAACATTCAGTTTAATTAACGGCATGGGCAAGATACAGTAACATGCAGAAATTATCTCAGTAAATCTATATTCTCTGCCAGTTCTCTGGAACATCTTTGTCATTCCTTGGTTTCCTGCTATTTGGCAGCTTTTATTCTGTTTAGAATTCTTAACTGCTCAGTTTTCATGACCTTTTTTGGAAGTTATAAAATTCTAACACAGAATATTTTACCTACTGGTTTTACACAGGTCAAGCACCTTATAAAACAACTTTTCATGTTAACAGTTACACCATTAGCAAAACCTAACCAATGTATTAGAGAACAATAATATCAAATGAAGCCACTTTGGTCTAGTGAAGGTGCTGGCCTAGAAATCAAGAATCTGTGAGTCCATTGTAGGCACAAAAGCCAGCTGGTAACTTTGAGCAAGACAACCTCTCTCAGCCCACCCCACCTTACATGGTTATTTTTGTGAGGAAAGAGAGGAAGAGGAAGGAGTACTACACATGTTTGCTGTCTTGAATTACTTATAAAGTAATGAAGGTGGAATTTAAAAACGTATGCCATTTACAAAACATAAAAACTCATTTTTAAAAAAACGTTATCTGCCAAAAATAGTATTTGGGCCTAAATTTGCATTGTCATTCTACACTCCTTTCTTGTCAGGTGGTGTTTGGCTCCACAATTTAACCAGCTTCTCCTTTTCCTTGCCAATTGGCTGAATATTATATATACACTCGATAATGGTCAAGCACAATCAACAAAGAAAACACTTCTTACGATGGAAGGGCATCTTTTATCTTCATGTGAGAGATATCATTGTAGAGGGCAATCGAAACTACCTCCTCCATGGGACATTTGAGCCCGTATTCTTCACAGCCATTCTCAATGACAACAGGGTCTGACTTGTGAGGATCAAACATTATGGTGTTGGGAGTGACTAACATGACCCCTCCAACAACTCCCTTGAAAAATAAAACAAAAATAAGTAGATAGTTAGTACTTATATTCATCACATCCACCACTGTCACAACATGACAACACAATGTACCTTCTGTGTTTTTTATACTCCCTTTTCTTCTCTAATGTAATTTTGTTTTCTTCTCAAGTGCTCAGTGAGGAGGAATGGGGGGGGGGAAATCTCAGCTAAAACAACTGAGCCAAGATAAAAGATTTTCAAAACACATCTATCTTCAGCAGACAAGGCCACAGTTATAAAAAGGGATCAAGGTATTTAACTTTCATCCTGGGTTGCAGCGAAGGAGAAGCTACAGCTTGTTAATTAATGAGAGTCCAAAGGAAAACAGTCCAAAACATTTTCTGATTTTGGCTGCAAGCCCTAGCTTTAATTGATTTGAGTTCAAAGACGTAGAATTCCCAGTAGGAACTTTTAATTGTTCTAGAACAGAGAAGCCATTTAAATGGTTCTATTGTATATCTTAACTACATATTACATATATACTCGAGGAGAAAAAAGCCACAAGAAATACGGACTTGGAATTAGGCAAAGAGAATGTGGTTAGAGAACATTATGATAATATACTGTAGATGGAACAGATTAGGAGAGAACTGAACACTCTCTTCTCTTCACAGCAGCTTTTAGATCACTTACTTTTCTTTTGCTTACATGTATACACAAAAATTGTGATCATAAGAGGGGCAAATAGTTTTAGGTCTTAATCACCCCAACAAAAGTATTTGAAGGTTCTTTTTCCAAAACAGTTTCAGCCTAGCTTTTTTTTGTCATAGAAATCTTAATCACCCCAAGGAAAATATTTGAAGGACCCTTTTCCAAAAACAATTTCAGCCTAACCTTTCTTTATCAACGATTTTATCAAGGAAGCTCAGAATAGTCACAGGAGACTGGGAATACAAGTTGTCTATAAAAAAATAGAATCTATGATCTCAATTAAAATGTTTTATATCTGTGATATAAAGACTCCAAACAATTAATAAAAATCTATTAAAAGAGCAGTACTGGGGGCCACAGTTTAGCTCCTGATTTCCAAAGTGCTACGAGAGATGGTAAGGTGGTAGCATTATCATAAGAGGCAAGACTGAAATATTTTTGGTGCAGTACTAAGCATATTATTAATATTAATTGAGAAAGACAAAGAATGCCCAAAAGAAGTTAGTATGTGCTTAATTGATTATAGGAGGACCTTCCATTGCATTGATCATGTGAAGCTATGGAATCTGCTTAGAAAAATGAGACTTCAGAACATTTCATTGCCCTTGGAAAAACTTACACACAGGTGAGGAAGCCAAAGTATGGTCAGAACATGATGAAACAGACTGGCTGTAGGTTGGCAAAGGAGTGAGAAAAGCCTGGTTATTCTCCCTTTATTTATTCAAACTACATGCTGAATATATACAGAGGGAAGATGGATTGGAAGAAGATGAGCATGGTTTTAAAACTGGAGGGAAAAAGCATCAGTAACCTGTGTTATGGAAATGATACTACTCTGATAGCTGAAAATGCAAATGATTTGCAAGTTCTAGTCAAGGAACACAGTGAAAAAAATGAAATTAAGATGAAATGTAAACAAGGCCAATCTAATGACAATAGGTACAACAATCAGCCTTAGAATTGACTTAGAATTAAGATATTAAAGTGATGGATACTTTCTGCTTTTTAGAATCAAGTATCAACACTAAAGGAACCAACATTAAAAAATACAGGCTAGCATTGGAAGTGTAACCATGAAGGCTTTGGAAAAGATATTCAGATACACATTGTGCCTATACATAAAAAGATCACGGTCATGCAGGTAATGGTTTTACCTGAACAAACTATGGAAGTGAAAGTGGGACTTTCAAACAACAGGACAGAAAGAGTAGTTTTTAAACATGGTATTGGAGAACAATCCTAAAGCAGCCAAGAAAACAAATAAATGGAACACTGAACAAATCAGTCTGGAATTATCATTCAAGGCACAAATGATCTGGCTAAATCTTACTTCAGATACATTAGACGAAGACCAACCTCTCTGGAGAAGGCTTTAATGATGGAAAAGATACAAGAAAAAAGAAGAAATTGTCTAGAGCAAGGTGGATGAATTCATGTACAGTGTTGATGCGTGTACCACTGAAAGACCTAAAGAACTAGGTTGGGAACAAATCACCATAGAGAAAATCTAGCCACATGATAACTAAAGATCAACACCAATTTGATAGCACACAAGGAGAGTGGGTTTTTACTGCCATTTCCACCCTTAAAACTCACCCCAAATTGTTTCAAATAACCATTTAGGAACAAATTATGGGCTGAGCTGGACTGGACTGGGCTATGCTGGAGCTGAGAATGATGATGGTAGCTTGCCTTCCAGAGGCATCTCTTCTGCCCATGCAATCTACTGAACAGGGTCTATTCTTTCCAGATCCCATTGATTCAAGAATGCCATCTGACAGGACTTTAGGCATTTTTGTTTCTTGACCCCACTCTTTGGAACATTCTTCCCTCCTGGAATTCAGGAGACTGGTTAAGCCTTTGCTTTTCTATCTCGATCAAGAAGTTTAGGGTTAGAATATGAATTCTATAACTCAATCTACCGTATCTGAAATGAACTATTTCTTGGTGATAAAATAAGAAGCAAGTGGGTGGGGCTTCTTAAATTATTTCAATAGACAATTTTAAAGACGCAATCAAAACAAGATTAGTGCCATTTATGTTAGGGACCTATAGCACAGCCTCACCTGGTTAGTACTATGATGTTCTTTTGAATCTTTTTGCAAGACAAATGCATTATTAAAATATCTCTTTATCTCATTAAATGGGACGGGGTGGCTCAGTGGCTACGACGCTGAGCTTGTCGATCAAAAGGTCGGCAGTTCAGCAGTTCGAATCCCTAGTGCTGCAAAACGGGGTGAGCTCCCATTACTTGTCCCAGCTTCTGCCAACCTAGCAGTTCAAAAGCACGTAAAAAATAGGGACCACCTTTGGTGGGAAGGTAACAGTGTTCCGTGCGCCTTTGGCGTTTAGTCATGCCAGCCATATGACCACGGAGACATCTTCGGACAGCACTGGCTCTTCGGCTTTGAAACGGAGATGAGCACCGCCCCCTAGAGTCAGGAACGACTAGCACGTATGTGCGAGGGGAACCTTTACCTTTATCTTTTTTTAGCTCATTAAAGGTCTGCTCCTTTTTACCATCTGGTGAACATACCCATTTCCCGAAAATAAGACCCAACTGGAAAATAAGCCCTAGCATGATTTTTCAGGATGCTCATAATATAAGCCCTACCCCAAAAATAAGCACCAGTTAACCTTGTCAGTCAAACAGATGCATTTAGTACTGTATTTCTCTGAAAATAAGACCTAATCGGAAAATAAATCCTAATGTGTCTTTTGAAGCACAAATTAATTTAAGACCGGGTCTTATTTTCAGGAAAACATGGGTATTTCCAGATTAATATATCATTTGGTATACTAATTTGTAATTGGTCTTTCACATAGGAAGCAAATCTGCTGGAAATTATATAAATTCTCTACCTTGCCATCTGTGAAGTAACGACAATTCATTTTTAAAAACTTATACACAGGTTCATCTTCCTCTGAGGTGGACGATGTAACTCTCTGAAGTGGTCTGCAAGCCCTTCTGGCTAAATCAGCATCCTTCAAAAATAAAATTAGACAAATAGCAATGACTTAAATTAGGAGTTCATTCATATAGGTGAATGCGATCGTTACTAATCCGTCCCTCTGCAAAAATCAGGAACATTCATCATATATTTGATATCATTTCAAAGGCCTGAGGAAATGTTTGAGAAGTAGAGAGTTTCCAGGACTAAGGGGGCTGTAGGGAAGCCCATTCCCTGAACAGAAGCTGTTGTCTCCAGGAAAGGAAATTTAGGTTTCCAAACCAGTATCCATAATAGTTATTATTGTTATATTATGTATGCTTTCTATAAAAACAGTCTTCCAATAACACGAAACTCATGTTTGTTATACAACTTGAAAATGCATCAGCCATTGCCAGAAATAGGCCAACAACAGGATATCTATAAACCTGTTTTTATATCAACTTTGCCTTTAAAGGAGGATACCACTGTTGGGTTTTTTCTTCTTCTTCTATTGTTGGTGAGAAAGTTAAGGCCACAGAGGAACTGCATCTTTTTAAAAATGTCAGTATTGCCATTCTTGAGAACTGGCGCAATCCTGGCATAAAATGATGATGATCCTTCATTTTTATATTGATCTTTCAGAAAACTGATGGTGATAGTAGTGGCTACTACACAGGGAAATTAAGTAAGAAGAGGACAGCAAGCTAGTGGTACAGCTCTAGTTTTCCCTCCCCAGAAATCAAAGCTGTATCAAATCAGTGGGTTGAAAGAAGGCATCAATCTCAATACAGCCAGGACTGCTTGGGGGCAAAATCTTGTACAAGTAGTCCTCAACTTACAATAGTTCCTTTAGTGAAAATTTGAAATTACAACAGTACTGAAAAAAGTGACGTATGATTGTTTTTCATATGACCATTGCAGCATCCCCATGGTCACATGATCAAAATTCGGACGCTTGGCAACTGACTCAAATTTAGGATGATTGCAGTGTCCTGGGGTTATATGATCACCTTTTGCAATCTTCTGACAAGCAAAGTCATCACAGAAGCCAGATTTACTTTATAACCATGTTACTAATTTAACAACTGCAGTGATTCATTTAACAAATGTGGCAAGAAAGGTCGTAAAATGGAGCAAAACTCACTTAACAAATGTCTCACTTAGCCACAGAAATTTTGGATTCAATTGTGGTCATAAATTGAGGGCTACCTGTACACATGAATATATGCCAAAATATATTCGATATATTTTATTTTATTTTTAATTAATTAATTAATTTTGTCAATCATGCTGTACATCTCCACCCCAGGCCATCCCAACGATGCCCTTGAAGTGATGTCCCGGTGCCTGGAGGCCGTGCGGATCTGGATGGGGAGTAACAGGCTTCAACTCAACCCTTCCAAGACCGAGTGACTGTGGCTTCCGGCGTCCCGATATAGCCAGCTGGTGCCATCGCTGGATATTGGGGGCGAGTTATTGGCCCCCACGGATAGGGCTCGCAACTTGGGCGTCCTCCTGGATGCACGGCTGTCTTTAGAAGAGCATATGACGGCCATGGCCAGGGGGGTTTTTATCAGGTCCGCCTGATTCGCCAGTTGTGTCCCTTTCTGGATTGGGACTCCTTACGCACAGTCACTCAGGCACTCGTCACTTCCCGCCTGGACTACTGCAATGCTCTCTACATGGGGCTCCCCTTGAGGAGCACCCGGAGGCTCCAACTGGTGCAGAATGCGGCTGCGCGGGGGATTATGGGAGCGAGGGGGCGCTCCCATGTGACACCTCTCCTGCGTGAGCTGCATTGGCTTCCAGTTGTCTTCCGGGTGCACTTCAAGGTGTTGGTTACCACCTTTAAAGCGCTTCATGGCATAGGACCTGGGTATTTGCAGGACCGCCTTCTGCCGCCGATAGCCTCCCACCGACCAGTACGCGCCCACAGAGAGGGACTCCTCAGGGCGCCGTCAGCCAGGCAATGTCGGCTGGCGACCCCCAGGGGGAGGGCCTTCTCTGTGGCAGCTCCTGCCCTCTGGAATGATTTGCCCCTGGAGATACGAAGGATATTGGATCTCCGGGTCTTTCGCCGTGCCCTGAAAACTTTTCTTTTCCATCAAGCAGGGCTGGCGTGAACCCCCTCCCCTTTTTTTAGTCTTTTTTTGTTTTTTAGTTTTTAAATTGTCATTGGGTTTTAATTGAATTGTTTTAAATTGGGCCAGTTATGTAATTCTTTTAATAATTTTAAATTTTGTATTGGCATGTGTTTTAGTTCTGGCTGTTCACCGCCCTGAGTCCACTAGGAGAAGGGCGGTATACAAATTGAAATAAATAAATAAATAAATGTATGAGAAAACAAGTGTAAGTAAGAACATAACATATAAACATAACATATAAACAGGTATAAGTATATACATAATAAATGAGTAAGAATAAATGGGAACACTAGGACAGGGACGGTAAGCATGCTGGTGCGCTTATGCACGCCCCCTTACAGACCTCTTAAGAATGGAGTGAGGTCCATGGTAGACAGTTTAAGGTTAAAGTTTTGGGGGTTTGAGGATGTAACAACAGAGTCAGGTAGTGAGTTGCAGGCATTGACCACTCTGTTGCTGAAGTCGTATTTTCTGCAATCGAGTCTGGAGCGGTTTACTTTGAATTTGTATCTATTGTATTATATTATCTATTGTACTGTATTATATATTGTATTATATGTAGACAATGACCTGTATCTAGCCAGAAAAGAATGTATGCCCCAATGTAAAGCAGTTCCAATGTTATTGCGATTTTGTTAATGAATTGCATTATTTTTAGGATAGTGAAATGGATAGTTTTTAGAGGCAGCCTAAATGTTTAATCAATTTTAGTAAATCTCTTAAACCCCATGAAGTCTTTCTGGAGAAATATCTAATCATGCTAATTTATATATTATAGAATAAGCTTTCATAGAGTTTACTTTCAGAAAAACTTGTATCATTCGTATATGCACATGCACACACACAAAGAGGCACACAAGCACACATGACACAAACTATACAAGTTTTACCGCAACATATTCTGTCTCTAAATGTTAACCTCAATTCAAACCTTATGCAAATCTTACCGGAAGCTTATCGTATTCTGCATCTGATGATGAAGGTGAAACAGGAATACCAGAACTTGAGGAAATTACTCTTGAAGTATCTGGCACATATAGTACCTAGTTTAAGGGGGAAAAAAGTGGAACATTAACATGATAAATATTATGGCCACTATTAAGATTAAATATGAATTGTAGAGAGTTATTTTAAAATACAATCTACCAATAATTACTGGTTATTGGATTTCATTATTTTCTTCAGCCATCATCAATCTACTGTCCTCAAGGTGCATTAGACTTCAATGTAACTAACATGGTATTATGGGAATTGTTATTCAGCTCAGTCACAGAACAAAGGGATAGGGAAGGTTGCAATAGACAATTTTCATTTCTAATTTGATTACAAATATTTTTAAAAAACTGGCATATGCAATTAATTTGATTTCTGTAATGAATCCATGTACAAGTATTTAAAACAACAGAAAATAAAAATCACTAAAATCTTTCCTACATTTACTTAGAAATAAATTCTGTTTCTTTTCAAGGTTCTTCACTAAAGCTTGAGTATTGTATATTATCAGGTGCACCATAAACCACCCAGAGTCACTCTGGATAGCAAGAAGAGTAGCATATAAATTTAATAAATAAATAAATAATTTAAAAAGGAACAACTAGAGCAGATATATGAAATGATCAACAACATATAATATAATATAAAGAATGGTTGCTGGAATTGGGTATGTCTAGTTTAATGAAAAAAAGGACTAGAGGTGACATAATAGCAGTTTATCTCTAATATCCACAAAGAAGAGGGAGTCAAGCTACTCTCCAAAGCACCTAAAGGCAGGACAAGAAAAAATGGATGGAAACTAATCAAGGAGAGAAGCAACCTAGAACTAAGGAGAAATTTCCTGACAGCTAGAACAATTAATCAGCGGAACGACTTCCCTTCAGAAGTTGTGAATGCTGCAATACTAAAAGTTTTTAAGAAGAGATTAGACAACCATTTGTCTGAAATGATATAGAGTTTGCTGCCTGAGCACAGGTTTGGACTCCAAGACCTCCAAGGTCCCTTCCAACTCTATTATTATGTTATCTTCAAAGAAATAAAATTCACAAGAGAAAATGAAAACAACAACACATTATCCTTCCTGGATATCCTCATCAGCAGAGAAAATAAAGGTAAAATAAAGGTCAATCAAAAACACAAATCTATTGAAAAACAACCCATACTAAACATGTGCTCCATTACCAAAGTAACAATCTAACCTACCACAAGCAAAAAAGGTTGTAAAATCGGCAGGATCATGTGGTGATCTGCTTAATGACCACCATGACTTACCCTTTACATATGGTAGAAGATACCCGTGGGACAAGATATGCCAAAAATAGAAAACGATTTAATCTCAATTTTAAAATTTCCACACAAAATATTAAAAGTTTATAGCTTTCAGTAGCATCAACATAAGAAAATTCCCTGCAGCTTAAATCACAAACAACTGAAATCTAGAAATGGAGATTTCTGGATCTAATTAGTTTCATGATGCAAAACAATGGTTGTTAAATTGTGTTCCAGTTAACTATGAAATTACTTTAAAAGCGTTATAGGCGCTGTCAGGGAAAATGAGTGCCACAGGAACATTCTTTTCCTACTATTGATATTCCTATTATTCCAAGTTATCAGAAAAATGTGGCTATATCACATAGGGTGCCTTCAAATAATGCAGAGTGACAGGAAGGCTCAAGGGAAGAGTCCTATCCTGTTTCCCCCAAAATAAGACACCCCCTGATAATAAGCCCAATCAGGCTTTTGAGCGCATGGCAATAAGGCCAAGCACTTATTTCAGGGTTCAAAAAAATATAAGACAGGGTCTTATTTTCGGGGAAATACAGTATCTAGTAAACACACTAAAATGTTTCAGACCGCATCACTTTCTCAGGGTAAAAATTACTTTCTATTGAAATAATTTGTTCAGTATTGCAATGTGGTCTCTCAACATATATGTTGAATGATCTTGGTAGGATCCAACACTTCCTGTTTTTATGGAAATAGTCAAAATTTGTGTTTGCAACCATGGTTTCTACTCTGAAATTGCGCTTCCAATTTTATGTATATGTGCGTGTGTGTGTATGTATGTAGATGATATTCATCTGGAATTACTGGTTCAGAATAATAGGAATATAAAATCTTTGAGCAGTTAGAATATCAAGATTGTTACTTCTTTTGCAAGGTTATAAGATGTAACAAACTGACAGAATGTTCAAAATGATGAACTGTAGTAAGGCGTCTATTCACAGTAAGGGTTTTTTTTAAAAAAAAACAATGCTCACACATGCAAGCATTAGTCTGATGATTACAAACAGCATCCATAAAATCAGGGTGTAGCTTGACCAACATTCATAAAATAATGGGAAGCAATAGGACTCTATGACTATTTGATTAATTCAGAGTAGGCATATAATATAAACCACAGACCAAAATAATAAATCTGAGTTATTGTAGAGGTAAACTGGAAGCTGTTGCCCTCTACCAGCCATACATCTAAATTTATCACTTCTCTTATCAAAAGTTCTTTTAAAGAAGTTAGCACAAATCAAATATTTTCAAGTGAAATTTCCTCTTGTCATAATTACCTGGCCTGGAACAATTGTGTGTGTGAAAAGCTTATTGAGTTCCACAAGTTTATTTGGAGTTATGTTAAACTTCAGGGCTATGCTGTTTAAGGTGTCTTGGCTTCCAGCCTAAGATAGAGAAGACAGAAAGTTTAAATTTCAAAACATATTTTAATCAATCATGCCTCTTTAAAACAAATATCTGGTCTAGATTTAGGGACTGCTGCAAAACTGTTTTGGAATATAGAAAAACAACTTCTTATTTCAGATATTGAGTCCACAAAGACATCAGAAATTTTCAACCCACAGCACGGTGACTGATTATCTGTGTAGTCACCACTGGATGACTTTTGGTTCCTTCTGTCTTTGTCCCAACTATACTGATTACCAAACTGTATGAAGAGGCAATCATTTTGCAACAGTCAATATGAAATTTACTCCTTTTGCCCCACTTTCAACCATGCGGATACTGCTCCACAATTAACCAGGAGCATATTGGTCAAACCATAAAAACTTAGTCACATTAGGGAAATCTTCACTGAGGATGGAATTTTTTTTGTGAATAAATATGTGTATGCACATGTATAGCCAAAAACATCTAAATTATGATTTATGGACAAAAACAATAAATTTATATTCTAAATCTAAATCACGGAGATACTATGTGATTCTTATTATGTTTTGATGCAACAGTCTCATAGGTCAATCCCACTAGAAAAACATTTTAAAGAGTGTGGGTAAAGCTGCAGAACTCAATGGTTTCTAATTCAAAGCAAATCTGATTCCATCCCTTTTCTACCCAGTATTATATATGCATGCATCATAGAGTAAGTAGATTATTCACTGTTGTTTTTTCATCTAAACCCATTCCAATCCAGCAGTCTTGAAATCTAGTTTTATATTTGTCCTTTCAAAACTGCCAAGAATATGTATTCCAACACATAAAACATATCTAATTTTGGTGGATAACAAAACAACAATTCTAGTACATAAATATTATGCTAAAGATCGGATGGCAGTTAAGACACACCAATTTCCAAAATTATTTATGGAAAGTATCTGTGAGTTTGAAAAGATAGCTTCTTCCCTCCAGAACAGCCATCGCATGCGATAGCTACAACACCTCATTTGCACAGTCAGAATTTTCCACACACAAAGATTCACCAACTGCTAGACTCCTCTGTCCCTTGGATGCACGCACACACACACATATGCACAGACACACTCATGCGGGTAATAGAGTTCAAAGCAACCTGAATAACTTCCTGTTTTGCAGCATTTCCTCTTGAGGTATAGAATAGGTGGTTTCTCACTGGCAAGAAATACCCCTCCCATTCTGGCTCCTAATAATTTCCCCTACCGCATAAGCACCTACATAAGATGTCCTACATAGTATCTTATATATGTTAACAAATATTCCACATTCCACACATGGAAAATCTACATTGGTATATAAAATTGTGCTTTCATTTGCCCTATAGGTTACTTAAAGGAAACTTAAGTAAACTACAACAAAAACAGCTATTATTCAACTTTTGTGCAATCAACCTAATAAATCAAAAAGAAATAGGAATGGAGTGGTTCTTAATTTCTTCCTTTGCAAAATAATTTCACTTATTTTTCAGCATGTGTGCGTGGCGGAAGTTCAATGCTACTCAGCTTGGTTTCTAATTAACTGACATCAAATATTGTTACATGAAAAAACATGTTTTAAGTCTCCCATGAAAAATTATCTCCTACAGCTGTTATTTGGCTCAGAAAATACCACTAAACAATTGGAACGGCGTAGCAGTTGGCAAAGTGGATATCTCTAGTAGGAAAATGGTACAAATAGAAAAAACACTTAAAATGTTTACAGAAGCTACAAATGGATTTTATACATTGTCAGGGGAAATCACATACACAGAGAATACTCAAGAAATGACACATCATATGCTAAGTTGCTTTATTTTATGTGCTTCAGTTACAGTTAGAGAAAAAGATTTTCTCCCCTTATTAGCATATAACTTTATAGTTAACATGAAACTATTATCAATTTAGTGACATTTCAAGTATACAAATTAGGGAAGAGTAGGCATTTCCACAACTCCCACGTCCAAAAATTCCTAATCAAGTCTTACCATGTACTCAATTGTACCCTGGGGTTTCTGAGTGACCATTTTTTTTTCTTTCTTCTCATTTGTTTTGGTTTGGTTATCATCTGAAAGAAAAAGCAGAGCAACAATTACTAATGTTGTTTCACATGTTTTTCGTGATAATTTGGCACTATATGACAACAGCAGCCAAACCATGAATTTAAACCAGAAACTGTAGCTTAACACATTGAGAAAAGCCCTTTTAACATTTGCAAGTTAAACAAGGATTGGCTGCATATTGCTTTCCAGTTATGTCAGCATGGCTCATATAAACTTTCCTGTCTTCCAGCATTTTTCTGTTGCCTTGGGCTATGACATTCAACCAGACACTCATCAGCAGACATTCTGATCTCTACAAAACAGAAACACTCAAGTTGAAACTGATTTTCAGCTATATTTATTTTTTTTAAAGAATTAAAAATGCTACCTGCTCCTTTGTGCTAGCAGCTTTCTAAAGCAAGATACATGCTCAATTACTTCTGTATTTGTTACACTCACTTCATATGGGATACAAAAGGTATAAATAAAATCATCCTAATAATAATGACAGCAATAAGCAAATGCCTGTTAAGGTAGAGATGTGGGAATAGATAGGTGGAGACACTGATTACAGTATACTAAAACAGATCCCAACTATTGTTTATGCTGCCTGGATTAACAGTTGGTAAAAATGTTTTCTAACCCTATTCCTTAAAATTTAGTGAAGAAGCATGCAATCCAGGGGACAACACTGAATTTTTAAACTGTTTTGATTAATGGTTGCACATTTATATAGGTTGACTCAGCCTTCCAGCCTTCCAAGGTGGGTAAAATGAAGCCCTAAACTGTTGGGGGCAATATGCTGACTCTGTAAACTGCTTAGAGAGGGCTGTAAAGCACTGTAAAGCGGTATATAAGTCTAAGTGCTTTTGCTATTTATATTTCTCCTTAATTTGACTTCGAAAAGCAGGGGAGGAAAACGTATGGAATCTACCAGTCACAAAACTGGGTTGGTGGAACCCATGCCACATGTGTGACCCATAGATCTACCCCTATTCTAAAGTTATATGCAAAAAAGCCTGAAGTGATCGTTCTACAAATATCTTATTTGAATTTGATTGGATTTGTGGACACCAGTGATGGGAGGCAACTAATGGAGGGAAAAATTACACTTGAGGCTTTTGGTGTGCGATTTCTCATTTCTGGTTATGTAGTACGGTAATTCACTTGTCTTCTAGTAAACTATACCTTTCTCATTAAAAGGAGTTAAGGATCGTTCTTACTTAGACCTTCAAGCTGAGACAGGTCTCACCCACATCATGCGCAGCAAAGCTTTTTCCTTTGTATAATTTAGTCAGGTTCCATATGATCTTTATCTAGCTATTTCTACCACAGTCAAGACCAAAGGATATATCACAGTCCATCTTCTCTACGTATCGTAAACTGCAAACTGCAAGGCCAACATCAGCTGAAGAACTATAATTTTTACTTTATTGTAAAAAGACAATAATTGGAGCAATATGTAAAGAATTCCCCCATAACTGGAAATATCAAATTTATCGGACATGAACAACCTAATTCTATAAAAAAATAAACACCCTGCTGAAACTGCCTTTATTCTTAGACTCTACCTTAATCATTCTTTATTAAGGATTTTTTTAAGGGCAGGTCAGGACACTACAGCAATCTAGTTGCTTTCAACTAGATTCTTGCCAAGGCTCTTGCCAGGTAAGCCTAGCCTGCATCAAAGCAGGCCACATTCACGGAAAAATTAAAATAACCCATATAAACACAGAATTGCATTGTTCAGAAGATCAACTGACTCATTTTCTCCAAATCTGTGAAATTTAGGCAAGGGGAAGGGATGTAACCCTATCCCTTCTCTATTTTCTTTGACTGAGGAAGCTGTAGAGGAAAAATCTATGCAATGAATAGAGGAATAACAATAAATGTCATTCTCTACTTTCTCAGCTGCAACATGACTAATTCCCTTATAGCAAAGAAACAGGATAATTCGATGATTTCTGCTTCAGGCAATTCTTACAGCAGAGGTTTGTACTCATTTGGGAATTACCAAGTGATTCTCATATTAGCTATATGTGTAATGCAGGGATGGGCAATTAATTTTCCCAAGGGGCCGCATGAGAAACTGGACTGTTGTGGAGGGCTGAACCAATAGTTCCTGACTATGCTCTACCGTCAGGGCCACCAAAGCAGCAGGTGACTGAACCCAGGTCCCCTTATGCGACGACTACTGTCATCATCACCTTAGGCTACTCCAGGCCAGGGGCAAGCGCTGTGCAAGTGTAGAAAAGCACATTTTCTCCTCACCCTCCCACAACTGCCAGTTGATTGACGGAGTGCATGGCGAGTGCACAGAACTGGACCTGACTTAGCTTCTTCTCCCACCTTGTGAGACTCACTTATTTATATCTGATTTCTAATTTGAATTGACTTCAAGAGAGCCAGATAAGGACAGCCAAAGGGCCAGATGTGGCCCAGCGACCATTAATGCCCAGATCTGCTCTAATGTAAAGTGGGGTAGTATTAAAATAGCTCTCTTTTGCTTTCAACTCACAGCCAAACAGGCACACAAAGAAGTTGTTTGAGAGGCAATCAGAACAATTATTAAGGAAGCCTGGATAATCACATCTCAGCTTAAAAAGGTATGAAAGAGCTTTCACCCAAACCAGCACTCTCCAGCTCCTCCCTTCCTGGCAAACAGGCAGGAAGTCTTCAATTAATTATGGTTTCCCATTTGGTCTGAATCAGGAAGCAAGAATAACAGCATCAGAACAAACAAAGATATTTTGCTGTTCAGTTATCAGCATGACGAGCCAACAACTTTCTAACTATAGAACTCTAAAGTTAGGTCTAGTATATTGAACATATATTTTTGTAGGCTAAAAACAGGTGAAAGTTTGGATCCTCTTTCAACCACAAAAGCAGCACTAATACTTAAATATTTTTTATTTCATCCGATTTTTATCTATTTATTTATTTAATTTGTATCTTGCCTTTATTATTTTTCCAAATAACTCAAGGAAATAAACATACTTAATATACCTTCCTCCTCCAATTTTCCCCACAACAACTCTGTGAGGTGGATTGAGCTGAGGGAGATCCAAACTCACCCAGCTGGCTTTTATGGCTAAGGCATCACCTGAACTCAGTCTCCTGTTTTCTAGCCTGGTGCCTTAATCCCTAGAGTAAACTGGTTCTTTTATCCAACCTTTTTCATTTTCTAAGTAAGTCAAGGCGGCTAATATATCCACCACACCTTCCTCCTCCTATTTTCCCCGCCAACAAAAAACCTTGTGAGGTAAGTTAGGCTGAGAGAGAGTGAATACCCAAAGACACCCAGCCAGCTTTCTGGGCAACCAACTATCAAGACTAGAGCTCACAGTCTCCTGGTTTCTAAATTATCGCTACATCAAAATTTATTTAAGAGAAATAAATCATAACGAAATTGTAGAAAATTTTTCTTTCCAAAAAAGAAAAAAAATGACAAATATATCTATATTATCTACCTATTGTATTATATACTATTGTTTTGCATGTCAATAGAAACAATATGAGACATGTGGTTATGTTTAGTAGTTCCTCTCTTCAAGCTTAACCCATTGTTGGATAGACCTGTGTGTCCCAATACTGCCATGTTTTCCAATAAGCAGCACCAAAAGTAAACTGTCAAAGCTAAATTTCACTTATGCTGCATGTTTGTTTATCCTAGGATAGATTGCTTTCTAACAGTTTGCAAACTAGAATATATCACAATCAGCTGTTTCAGAAAGATCAGTTTTTATCCTCCACTTGCTGTTCTACACTTTTAGTATCTTTTGAAAATGAATGCAACCAAGCCTAATTCTTAATTTTAGATTACCCTGAACTAAATTAGTGCAAAATCTCACAGGACTCTGCAGCAATTGTTAAAGTAGCACAAGAAGATTTGGAAAATTATAGAATCACTTATTCCAGTTATTGTGTATAGATTTCAGTTTTGCATTCAATGTTACCATATGTTTCTTTTACCCCAGAGATTTTATTTCTACATATTTTGGTGTATATTCATATACAAACACACAAAATTGATGCCCCTAACAACCGATGTTGCATGACTTTGATAAAGTGGATTCCAATCCATGGTGGCACATGCCACAATCACACTAAAGCGTATCCATTCAAAACGAAGTCTCCTCTATTAAGATGTTACACCAATGTATCTCTGACAGCTTTAGGTAGACAGCTGCAGAATTCATTGTTATTTTCATGATAATATTCAAGTACAGCTTTCTTCTAAAAGGGGTCAAAATTGAACACAGTCTCTCTCCCGACTCACTTCACTCAGAGAAGAATTTATATTAAAAACATCTTGAAGAAAATGCTAACCAGTAGGATGTGTAAAGTGTCAGGATGGTTGCAAGCATATTTAGACTTTAACAACTCACATTAAAATATGAGATGGTAGAAAGAGATAAAAGTGACTGAAATGATTTGTAGTTCCCTTAGAAAATGATGTTACTAATTATATAGTTATTGGCTAATCTGTGGAGACAGGAGGAAAAGGAGGAAGAGGAAAAAGGAGGAGGAAAAAGGAGGAGGAGGAGGAGGAGGAGGAGGAGGAGGAGGAGGAGGAGGAGGAGACATGGGAAAAGTTCAAGAACAATTATCAGTCCTTTTTTTACCTCTATGCATATCCCATTATCCATATGCCCATTCACAACAAAGGAAGAGAGGAACAAGTTTCAGAATATACAGACTGAAGAAGGCAGCCAGGATGCCAGAGTTCCCCACTGAATCCAGAAGGATTAAACAGAAGGCTACCAGAGATAATAGAGGGCAGGTGGTATGAGACCAAGAGCCAAACTCACTTTTCTCCTGGGATGCGTATCAGGTTTCTTGGAGGTAAATAAGAAAAGCATAGAAACCGGAAGCCTGCTATGTTGGTTAAAAGCTTTTCACCAGAGGGACAGAAGACTAAGGAAATATTGGTGCAAAGACTTCAACATCATATTATTGTGAGCTACAGAGTAATTTGCAGCTTAGTCCAAGAGGTGAATTTAAACTATTTTATTTTAAGCTTATTTATACGTAACAATCTGGAGATTTTGGACTAGTGAACAAATCATGATTAAAATGTGTGCCTTCCTATAATGCATCAGCCAGTCAAAATCTGTACAGCCAGTTCCTCATTATTATATTTTAAAAGGCTCTCCAATGTTAGATTAGGGAGGTAATTTGTCAATCAAACCAAAAAATAATAATCAAGATCAAGAATAAGACATCCAATAATACAAATATCATGAATGAGCATCAAAACAATCACAACATTAGAGCAATGAATCACAGAGCAAATGAAAAATAAATAGGGAAAACAATTAAAAGCAAAATTGGTGTGGCTACTATGGAGGAAAAGCTAGAGAATGAAAATAGAACATATTCTGAACATATTCTGATTCTTCTTTAAATGTGGCAAAGAAGAGGTTGTACAGACACACTAAGGAGGAAATTCTAGCTCACTGGCACTATTAGAGTACCAAAAAGGCCCTATATCCCTAATCAACTCCAGACAGGTTTATTTTGGGCGGCAAAAAGAAAAGTTTGTTTTTTTTCAGAGTGTAGCTCTCATGCATAATTTTGTCATGTTTATGTAGTGTATATTGGAGGTGGTGACACTTTGACAGCTGTATGCAATGAAATTCCATTTTAATGTATGCCGATTAGTGTACATTCAAAGTGACAATAAAGTTATTCTAAGTCTAAATCTAAGTCTAAGGAACAACATATGGATGAAGACATTTTTTTAACCACACGGGACCTGAGCTACATAAGGATTTATCAGTAATAACAAGCTCCTTGAATTAGAAGAGTTGGAATTAATAAAACAAATTCAACAATAGACATGTATTAGATTTCTAACTCATTAGTAATCAGTTTTGCAGATGTGAAGTGGCAACTCCTATTTATACAGATCATAATCCAGTAATTGTTAAGACTAGGTAGAAGAATAAAAGAACAATTATAATACTATTATAACTATTAAACGGTACTCTTACTAGGAATTAAAGAGCTTCTTCCAAATCAGTTTAACCTCTAATGTCTCCCTATCTACAAGTTTGGGAGAATGGAAACAGTATTAATTATGTTTGTAACTGCTTCAAAGAAGATAAAAAATCACTTATATAAATATTCCTTTTCTTTCTTACTTTTTTCTAAATCTTCTACCATCATTCACTTTTTCTTCTTTCTTTCCTATCTTATCTTTCCTTTTGTATTTTTTCACGTTTCTATATTCTTTATTTTTCTGAAGCTATACAATATATATATGTACAACCCAGTGGTAAAATGTAAAATTTGTTACTACCGGTTCTGTGGGTGTGGCTTGGTGAGTGGGGTGTAATATGACTGAGTGGGCGTGGCCAACTTTTTTTTTTCTTTAACTTTTAAAACCATTTTTTCTACAACCTCTTCGGCTGAAGAGGTTGTAAAAAAATGCTTTTAAAGCCTCTGACGATCCCAGCTGACTTGCCAGATCCGCAGAGGCTTTTTTTTTAAAGCCTCTGACGATCCCAGCTGACTTGCCTGATCGGCAGAGGCTTTTTTTCCTTTTAAAAACATTTTTTCTATAACCTCTTTGGCCAAAGAGGTTGTAGAAAAAATGCTTTTAAAAGCCTCTGATGATCCCAGCTGAGTCGCATGATCATCAGAGGCTTTTTTTTTACTTTTAAAAGCATTTTTTCGGCCAAAGGGGTTGTAGAAAAAATGCTTTTAAAAATAAAAAAAAAGCCTCTGATGATTACGTGACTCAGCTGGGCAATGGGGGGGGCAGGGATTTTTGCTACCGGTTTTCTGAACCACCCACCTCCATCACTACCGGATCGGGCGATCCGGTCCGAACCGGGAGCATTTTCACCCCTGGTACAACCCCTACAATATGGGTTGCTATTCTAGCATTTGTGAAAATGTTATTTATCTCACTTGCATCAAATAGAAATAAAGCCATACAAAAACAGAAGGATACATTACTGAATAATCTAAAACAATTCAAATCAAGGCATAAATGTAACTCAATTTCAGATTTAGAACAAAAGATAAAGCAATATGGAAATCAACTACATTTACTGGATATAAATAAGATCTACAGGAAGTTGAATTTACCGAACATACTTTTGAAAAAAGCAATGAATCAGATAAATCGCTGGCCTATCAATTGCATATGGAACAGGATAAAATAACAATTATTTATGAGGGAATCTTGTTTCTACAGCAAAAGAAAGGATGCAGCAATTTGGTATTATTCTGGAAAACAGCTATGATCGTTTTTGATACAAAGAAGGTTTTGACAGAATTTGGCTTGGAAGGCAACTGGGTGCCAGTGCAATTTAACCAGATGTTATATGCAACCATGGTAAAGGCTGGGTGCTACACTTTAGACATCCTGCAGTTTTTGGATAGGCTTTAAGGCCATACCATTACAGATCTCATTACAATAATCTATCTGGGAGATTATAATATATGGGTAGCAGTAGCCAGAACAGCTCTCATCAAGAAAGGATGCAGAAATTATTCACAGATAAAAACAATGTGCCAACCTCCCATATTGACCTAAACACTCAGGGACAGAATTCATAAAGTGCAGACTTGAGAAGAATACTTCTGTTTGGGATAGGAAATGCCTCCTCAGATACTACCAAACCCTTAGACTTGTCTAGATTCTATTTCTACCTATTGTTACTCCTCCAGTCCATGCGGAAAGTTAGTGCATCTGACAAGAAACCAACTATGGATAAAATTGAGATATTTATCAAGCAACAGCTAATCTAAGATGCCACACAATATTATTACATGTTTCTCTGTTCTAACCTGTGCTGCTTTAGTTGCAAAAGTAAACAGATTTTTTCTTTAAAAATTGAAATATAAAAATAGAATTCATAAATTTACTATTTTTCTGTCAGCCACTCAGCTATGCAGAAATGTCATCATCTGCATTATCATATTTAACATGTTTGTATCCCTTTTGAAGGGTCAAGTGGTAGTGCTGCAGCATACAGTATATGCTAAGCATATTAATTATGCTAGCAAAATCCTTTATAATTCCAATAGTAAATTACATCGCCTAATTTATTGTTTTGAAACTGTTTCAAACATCTCAGCTGTTTCTAATTGTCCTTGTGATGCCTGGTTATAAGATGGGAGTTATCCATACAAAGTTTTATTTCCCTTTCAGAATTAGGCAAACTTATGTGATAGTTGCATCTGGGGTGCACAAAACCAGGTGACCATATGGTAGGATAGAGGGAGGGAGATTGAGACTTTGCTGCCATCTAGTAGTCATTAGGTAGACTGGCAATTGGAGGAAAAAAATATTTGAACATTAAAAACTATTCTTTATGGAAATTAGGAGTGGCTTTTTCCTTAATTGGTGACATCTGAATTCTAGCCAGTTAAAGTGCCAATCATTATTCTTACAAATAACAAAGAGTTCTTACGAAAAACCAAGTATGGCATATTCCTATTTTGGAGGTGCATTAGTTTCACCCTGAGGGTCAGCTCAATTAATGCCAGGACAATTTCCTCCCACTTCTGAGATAGGGAAATCATGGCAAAGCATTGGTGTGGATGATCCCAAAGCTCTTGCATTAAACTCACCAATGCTGTAGTATCGTTTAAGATCAGTTCGCCTAATATCCTTTGGTTGACTGCTCTTTTTCTTTTTTTTCTCATAATCCTCTTTTTCTGCAGAATGCTTGTAGTTTTCTTGAGGACTGCTTGTCTGTTCTAAAATGATTTTGCTCCCATCACTTTTTCCAGTCTGAGTTTTACAGGTGTGAGTTCCACAGGTGTTTGGAGGTGGCACATCTGTATTTTGTTTAGCAAGCTTCTTTTTTTTCAAACTAGAGGAAAAAAGGAAGAAATACAAACTTTGAGCATATAGGAAAGAACAGTGGAATAAAGGTAACGGTTGAATAATGGCAATTTAATATTGGTGAATTATCCACTTACACATAGTTCTTGCTGATGAATCTATTCCTAACTGATCCTTACAACCTCTTCTGATGGTACTGCTATATATTCTTCTTCTTATATTTGATAATATCAAAAGGCTATTTTTGATTCTACACTACCATATGGTTCTCATGCCAAAATCACTCAGTCCAGAAATGTAAAATAGCAAGGATAAGAAAATTAGTATTCTATCCCTGGTAGAATTTCATTACAGCTGAATAATGGATTGGATGCACATTGCTACAGGTATTTCAGAATGCATGGGGATTCCTGTCTGTGACTCATTAAAACAGCCACATCTGTTTCCATGACTGATGAATCAGGAATCTCCCCAAAACAGCCCATACAAAACTGGAAAAAGATGCAGCTATTTTCATTAACTTTTAGCAGGAATGCACTCATGCCCCTACATGTTCCAAAACATCTTTTCTGAAGCTTCGTCACTCCAGCTCTGCAATATTTTTATTTGTTTCAAGATCAATAATCAGAAGTGCACGCAACATTCAAAATATGGTTACTTATAAATAGGTGATCCCTCTACTAACACAAAGTACTATAAGGGTTGGAAGTAGTTTTCCAGCAGTACTTCTATGCTATGGAACAGCTTTTCCTTAGAGATTAAACTTGTCTTGACATAAATGATATTTTGGAAGATGTAACAGATAAAGCTCATTCAGACAGTTTGTTTTAGTTTGACTATCACAATGATGTATTATATATTAGCGCTGGTTGTTTTTAGGGCTAACTTTATTCTGAATTATATTTATTTTTATCCTTCCTTTATTATTATTTTATAAATAACTCAAGGGAGTGAATATATCCTTCTTCCTCCTATTTTCCCCACAGCAACAACCATTTGAGGTAAGTTGGACTGAAAGAGCATGTCAGCTTTCATGCCTAATAGAGGGGGCCACATGCGCATGCACGGAGGGGCGGGGCACAAGCAGGGCACTGCGTGTGCATGTGCAGGGAGCAGGGTAAATGTGTGGGGGCCACATGCGCATTGTATTTTAGAGGTTCAGGCGCACACCTATTCACACACACATTTGGGCGCGCTTTGGGCACTCGGTCCGGAAAAGGTTAGCCATCACTGCTATATTGTATACTAGAGATTTTTTTAAAACTGTTGTTATATGGCAGTGATGGTTAATCTTTTCCAGACCAAGTGTCCAAAACGCATGTGTGCATGCATGAACCTCCAAAATGCAATGCGCATATGGCCCCCACACATGCACCCCACCCTCCCACGCATGCATACATGCCCCCATATGCCCCATCCCCCTCACATGTGTGCACGGCCCCCGCACACCCCCACCTCCCACATATGCATGCGCAGCCCCCCACATGCACCTCCCGCATGCATGGCAGAGACCCGAAGACCGGCTGGCCGGTAGGAGGTGCGCGCGCACATGCGGCAGAGCTGAACTGGGGCGACAGCTCGCATGCCCACAGAGGGCGCTGCGTGCCACCTCTGGCATGTGTACCATAGGTTCGCCATCATGGTTATATGCTATCAAAAGTCTTTAATTTGTGGTGGGACCGAAATGTCATGCAGCAAAACATAAAACAAATAAAACAAATACAGATTTATGTAAGGACATTCTAAATATGGCCTATATGCTGTCAGAAACCTGGATAACAGATAAAATCTGTAGGAACTTCCAACTGTGGAGGTAAAGTAAACTTTGGCCTCCAAGGCAAATATATGAAAAGAAAGATAGCTCTCCCATCCTTAATTGTTTATTCATATTTGTTTGCAACCATAACAAGGGATAGAAAAAAGATGGCCCATATTTGTTATATTAAATTTTTCTAGGATAATTTTTTAATCTTCTTCTCTTTTGTTCCCGTTCAATGCATGTAACATTATTTTGTATTTTTTACATGCAATGCCACTATATTCTTTCAGCAACACTAATCACAGATTTTCCTTCTGTTTCTATTAACATCCTGCGATTACATAGCCTGTAAAAATATGAAGATGGTGCAGATCTCCACTGCCTTTCTTCCCTATTGATCCCGTACTAAGAACAAATTAAAGAAAACAATCTGTTTAAAGGGAAAAAGAGATATTTATTATTTACATAGGGTATTTGTATTACATCCATTTCTTTAACACAGGGGTGTCAAACTCACGGCCAGCAGGCCAGATGCGTCATGTGCTAGCTGCACCCCAGCCCAGTTTAGCAAAGAGGAAAAAAGTCCTAATACGTCACATGACGACGTGGTGACAAGGCGAGTTTGACACCCCTGCTTTAACACATTTCAGCAGTTTACAGAGATCTAATAAAACAGCAGAAATACAATTAAAACAATCATTAAAACAACAAGTCAATACCTTTTAGAACAATTAAAATCCCCAAATACATAAAGCAGGTAAAACAACTGAATCAATTCATAAACATGGAAGTCTGAGTTGTTGCCTAAACTGTAAGAAGGGAGTTTCCTTAACTCTATGGCAATTTATTCTACAACATGGCCGCTGAGATTGGAGAATGAACCATAGTTGTCAGAGCTGTCTGTGAAGGATATTCTTCAATCAATACCATTTTGCCATTAATCATATTTAAATGTAAATATACTTTAATGTGCCAAATTGCTAAATATCATTTTTGGGCATTACTGGAGAAAAAAATTAACACCAAAACAATTCATTGTTCATGAATTACAAAAGCAAATTGAAACCTATTAAAATTCTAGCAGTCGTATTTCTTCTAAATGGAAATTTGGAAATTTGGGTAAACACCAAATAGTGTTTATGGGCACACAGCAGCATAGTCCTAAGCATATTTAATCAAAACACAATAAGCATGATGACATGGAAACAAATGTTTTAATAAAATATATCACCCACTGATTTGAATAATAGAGGCTTTTCCCAGTTAATGCTGTATCTCTAATGAAACAAATTAATATTCTATTAATATTCTAAATCGTGTGAAAAAAATTATCCATAAGGGTATTTCAGTTTATGAATGTTTTATATGGACAATAATAATAACAGCAATTGTAATAATGTAGTGTCTGAGTTATTAATTCTAAAATAGAATTTATAGGATTAGAACATTTGACTTCAAGCGTGACCATTTCTATTTATAAAACAGATGTAAATCTCTTGCAAAATCATGTTAAGCACTGATAAAGGCTTTGAGAACTAAACAATGATTTGCTTTGTGTGTTGCCCAATTTTGTACAGGTGACCTGTGCTTTGCATTACTGGACAGCAATAGCACATCCTCTTACCTAAGAATATACCTCAATAAACCTAATGGAGCTTATTTAAGATAAGTAATAAAATAGACTAATAATGCAGTTTTCAATCTATCACACTGCTATTAAAATAAAATAAATTTGGAGGAACTTGACTCATTCAAGTTGGAGCACCTTGACTCATTCAATGGGATGCCCCAATAGGCCATATACATTAAAGGAAAGAAACTTCAGTGCACTTTATATTATACAGACATAAGGTATCACAGACAAAACCCTGCCTGACACTTCTTCCAACAACCGAAGTTAGAACATCATGATAGGCAAAGCAGAAGTGAGGGAGGGAGGGAAATGAACATTCGTACTTAAGAGTCAACTGAAACAATATTATATCCTTACCGGGCAAAGTAGCTTTGCTTTCGTTCTTTTTTTTCTTCCTTGGTCTCCATAGCAACCAGTAAAAAAGATACAAGGAAAAGGGGCAAAGGCTTCCAGTTAGCACCTCATCTCCAGGCAGAGTCCCTGCATTAAGGGAGGGGGGGAAAAGAAAAAGTCCATAAACTAATCTGTTGGCAGCATCTGATTTATTTGCAAAGTTACAGCACACAGTCTCACAGCAAGTACATTTTAACCTGGGAAAGCCAATCACATGTCAAAGAACTTATTGTACCCAAAACAAAACCAAAAAAAGAAAAAAGGGGAAGAAAAACACTGCCAGGGCTCATTGTATAGAAATAAAAGTTCTAACTCTGGTCTAACCCCAAGAGATACATAGGAGCTTCTTTTATGAAGGCATCTATGAAATCTGATATCAAATGAATGAAAGGCTTATGAATTTACAAGGACTTTACAAGGACTTCATTCCAGCAATTACCTCAGCAATTACACATCATGGTTACTCTTGAAGCTTCTTTATCTTGACAACTTGTTAGGTACTTTACAGCTAGTAATTCTCAGGAACATGTTGGAGTTTAGTCATAAAATTCATATAGTATTATCTATTTGCTTGATGACTTGCATAAGAAAACTGGAAAGAAAAAATGCTGTGGGAGTTGTGGGGTTTTGATGTTCGTACTTGCCTATTGTATTTTGACACTTGTCTCCCTCCCCCAAAAATGAACAGTTATAATGGAAAAGGTCTACTCTTCCAGCTGGACCCTTTGTGTTGCCAATCATTAGCACACTAAATTAAAAAGAAAAAATTAAATTAAACCAGGATATAATCAAGAGTGGCAATGCATGTGGTCCTTGACTTACAACACTTCATTTAGTGACCGTTCAAAGTCACAACAGCACTGAAAAATGTGACATGTCCCAAGGCCATGCCTTTTATGACCTTCTGACAAGCAAAGTCAATGGAGAAGTCAGATTCAGTTAACAACTAAGTTACTAACTTATCAATTGCAGTGATTGACTTAACAACTGTGGCAAAAAAAGGTTGTAAAATGGGGCAGAACTCACTTAACAAATATCTCACTTAACAACAGAACTTTTGTTCTGTGCTCAAAGATGCTCTTAAGTTGAAGACTACCTGCATCAACTTTAGCCACCTTCATTCCGAAAAAGCAAAATAGTTACATTGCCTGGAAGGGAAGCAAAGGGCACAGAGAAAGAACCAAAATTTATTTTAAGGCAGTATCTTCATTAGACTAACTACGATTTTATAAAACAGTAAAAATTGCCTTATATAAACAAAAAAAATGAAAAGCAAGGTTTATTTCCTTGACTACCATCAGAGCAGATTCCTGATAGAACCCAAAAAAACAGGTTTGGAGATTTGACATCTGGAAGCTGCAAGACTGGCATAAAAATAGAAACAACTAAAACAGAATAGAAGTCTAAGGTCAAATTATTATTTCCAAAGCTGAAATACAAAAAATCATTTTTTCTTTTCAAATAAAATTTCATTTTCTGAAAATTGTGATACAGCTGGTTACTGTCCCAAATACCATGTATGTAGCTGAAGAACAAGCAGTAACCTCATAAGTACTAATTTTTCGGAGTATAAGAGGCACCTTTTCCCCCCCTAAAAGGGGATGAAAATTTAGGTGCGTCGTATACACCAAATGTAGCCCCACCCAACCACTGGCCCCCACCCTTTGGTCTCTGTCTCGCAGCAGTTACCTCCTTGCAAGCAAACAGCAAGAAAAAACAGTTCCTTTCAGCTTCAGGACATCCTAATTAGCACAAGTTGATTGGATCGGCCTCCCGACTCAGCTGATTTGCTCTCAGCTGTTTTGTGCAGGGCTCTGCTGCTTGCTGCAAAGAGGTAAATTGCTGGAGCAGATTTTTTTTTTCCTTGTGCTAATCAAGCTATGCTGAAAATGAAACTGAAAGTAAAGCAGACTGTTTGCTGTATGCTGCAACGAGGCAAAATTACTCAGAGGCAGAGGGAGATTTCTTTTTCTTTTCCTCACCAAAAAAGGTAGATGCGTCTTATACTCAGGTGTTCTTATACTCAAAAAAATACGGTAAGTATATTCAGGCACTGGCATCTCTATTGTTGATGGTTGCAATATATTTTCATTTTGCTACCAAAAACATCAGTCATGGGGTTGCCAGTGCCTGAATGTCCTTCCTTGTGAAGTTTCTTATCGTTTTTCAGTTACATGTGGGGGATTTGAAGATTCTGCAAATTCAGTAACTGACTGTATGAACTGCCTAAATTCTTATGGTCCTTTTATCCAATCAGTAATTGTGCAATCAGCAAAGGCATGGCATCAGTTTGAAACAAACAAATCTATTACTATTAGCCTGTAGTTTAAGAAAAATACAGTAGTTGTCTCAAATAAAGGAAGCAGGCAAATACTCTGTGATCAGCAACAATCAGAGTACGCCACAATTGATCGATTTCTTTTTCCAGGCAGAAGAGTCATCTAATTAAGACTGGATACTCAAGAAAAACTGCTAGGCTAATGAGAAGTCAAGGAATAAGCGTAGCCTAGACACTTTGTGGAGAGTTTGTTAGGCAACTACTTTGAGAATAGACAAGAATGCTGCTATTTCTCAATGCTACAATTGAAGTAATTTGTCTTGAAGGTAAGAAAAAGTCAAGGAGGCAAACAGACAGACAAAACCCTGAAAAACATACTGAACTGAACCCAACTGAGCATATTTTTTTTGCTTTTTTTTTTTTTTTTTGTGAGACATTTTGATGGGTAAATCCTAATTCAATGAACTGTGCACTATTCATATGTGAACCTAAATCAATTTTATACTCTAGATCAGGGGTGTCAAACTCCCATTGTCATGTTGTCATCACGTGATGTATCATGACTTTCCCCCCTTCCTGAGTCCTTCGGGAGTAGGGCCGTATAGAAATTTGATTAATAAACGTCTTAAAGAAAACAATCAAGCTCAGAGAATACCCAATTGAGGGCTCCTTTCGTGTCCTCAGCAGGAGCTGGAACATAGGACTGGAACTCACCCCACCCTATGGCAGCACTCAGATCTCAAACGCAGGCTTGCTAACCTCCAACCCCGTGTGCTAACCACGTGAGCACTGTGCTCCATAGCTTAGGTAATGAAACATCTTCAAGAAAACAACCAAGCTCAGAGAACACCAAGAACCCCACATTTCAACCCTGAGCTACAAATATTCTCCTTTAAAAATATATCTCTTGAGGGGAAATATGCAGTTGCTTTTACCCTTTCAAGGTATCATACCATTGGAAACAAGAACTATCTTCACTTTTCTCAGTGAAGATAAGGTAGAACAGAACGCAATTGTACTAAAGGAGGAAAAAAAGAAGATAGGTAGTTATATAAATTAGGCAGAAAGGAAGGAAGGTAGTTTAGGTGGGTAGGTAGGTAGGTACCATAGGTAGTGGGTAGGTAAGTAGGTTAGGAGGCTATAAGATTGGACAATAATCGAGAAAACATCTGCTTTTAAGCCAAAAGGTAACTAATTCATTGTCATACTGTTTTTAATTTCTCAATGGATGGGCAAGTGTGTACATGTATGTGTGATGTGCATGTTCATTATGTGTAAAAGAGAGGTATCACTTATTATAATCAAATATAGATTGTACTGCCAAATGGGGCTCTGTGCTGGCTGGGGAGTTTTAGTCCAGAAGTGGTCAAATTACGGAAGCTGTTTTACTCTTTTTATTCCTATTCTCTTCCATGTCTGTAGTCATTGGCATAATGGTACATATCATTTTCTCCTGCCTCCAGAGGCATTAGATACAATTTGATATTTTACAGGTAATCTTCAAATTACAATCACAATTGGGACCAGAATTTCCACCACTAAGCAAGGCAGTTGATAAATGAATCGTGTCGAATTTTACAATCTTTTCTGCCACGGTTGTTAAGTGAAGCACTGCAGGTGTTAAGTAAATCATGCTGTCATTAAGTGAATCTGGCTTTCCCCCCATTGTCTTTGCTTGTCAGAAGCCAGATAGGAAGGTCACAAATGGTAATCACATGATTCCAGGATGCTGAAACTATCGTAAATATATGCTGGTTGCCAAGCAACAGAATTTTCATCACATGACCATGGGGAAGGCTGCAATGCTCATAAGTGTGAGGATTGGTCATAAGTCACTACAGGCAGTACTCAACTTGCGACCACAATTGAGCCCAAAATTTCTGTTGCTGAGCAAGGCATTTGTTAAGTAAGCTTTGTTCCATTTTACAATGTTTCTTGCCACAGTTGTTCACTCCAGTTGTTAGTAACATGGTTGTTAAGTGAATTTGGCTTTCCCATTGACTTTGCATGTCAGAAGGTCACAAAAAGGGATCCCATGACCCAAGGACACTTCATCTGTCATAAATGAGAGTCAGTTGCCAAGTGTCTGAATTTTGATCATGGGGACGCTGCAATGATCGTAAGTGTGAAAAACAGTCATAAGTCACTTTTTTCAGTGCCATTGTAACTTTGATTGGTCACTAAATGAGCTGTTGAAAGTCGAGCATTTCCTGTATTTTCAATGCCATTGTAACTTCAAACAGTTGCTAATAAATTGTTGTAAATCAAGGATTATCTGCGCAGATCTAAAACTGAGATCAGTGACTCAACACATAGTGAGTAGCAAACACCCAAGTTAAACAATTACAGATGACACTGATTGAAAATGTCACATTGTTAAGCAATCCCTATTTCCTTGACCCCTGAAATACCCCATGGCTGTAATTTTTCTGTTTTCTAAACACTCAGACATGCCAATTATCTGTCAAAACAAAATTTCTTCTGAAATTTAAAATATTCCAAAAAATTTTTACAAAATCCCTAGCTGGAGAGCAGCTGCCAAGTTAACAGCTTTTATTTAATTGTCCTGGTATGGGCATAAGAAATCTGAGCAAAATTATTTGTTTTGAATACTTAAAACTTTTCAGAAACAACCATGTATAGTTAGTAGGCAGAATATGGTGTGAAAAGCAAGCATCCATGTTGGTTGGTTAAATGGTCATGGTTCAATAATAAATGTAATTGCAACAACACTATTTCACAATTTATGATCATTATGCCTTGGGTATGTTTAGATGGAACTGTTGTCCAATATCAGGTACAACTATGGTTTAGATCACGTCAAGGACTATCTGCGCAGATCTAAAACTGAGATCAGTGACTCAACCTTCATAGGGTTAGTTCACTGAAATGCAACCAAGTTTTTATTATTAGAGTTTTGCCTCTTGAGTAGATTTCCAGGATTTTTTTTTTAACTAGCAGATTCTGCAACCCTAAACCCCTGGTTTAGATCACTGTCTACCTAGACCATTATTTATCCTTTTTCAAGCCTTCCTGCTCTTTTTAGGCGATAAAGAACTATCTAGCTCTATAAGGACCCAACAACTTAGATCTCCAATTTGGGCACCATGGTACCAGTAAAGACCTCCTCTGGTGCCCAACATGCTCCTTGCCCCATTTAATTCTATTTCTTTTCTGATTCTATTAATTTTTAAACAATATACCATAAGAGAAAGCCAAGCTTTATCTTCAAGCCTAACGTACATTACCAATAATACCACTTCATCTCAGGTACACCAAGAAGTACTTTTAGAAAACAAGATCATTGGCTGGTTGGTTGCAAGCTACTACTTTGTTTGGAAATATGACTATCTACATTGAAAAAAAGTAAAGGTTAAAAAAACATCCTGGGAAATTAAAATGGTGAGCATCCTGGGTGATCAAAATGCTCCAATTATGAAAAACAATGATTGATTTTCTTCTGATCCAGTAAATAATAATAAATAGATTGTTCAACCATTCATTGTTGAATAAACCACAATTAGCTATAGTCATATAAAATGCCAAAATATAAATAATGATTTACAGACTACACAAGTTGAGTTCATATCATATTCTTAAGTCATAACAAAACAAATATGGCTGGCTGGGGAATTCTGCGAGTTGAAGTCCCCCCCCCCCAATCTTAAAGTTGCATAGGTTGAGAAACACTGACATACTGTTTTTCTGCCTTAATAATCAGCCAAGTTTTTTTATTATATCCATCAAGCAGGAAGGTTTTTTTGGCCTTCCATCTCATACAAACTAATTTTTGGCTTACTGTGGCATGCAAATTCAGCCATACTTTAAGTTATGGCTTAGCATAACGTTTTGACTCGATCACTGTGGCTTGTTTAACAAATCAATACTATGTGTTTTATAACCTATTTGGTTTGAGAGAGAAGAACAAAGTCTGCAGTAACTTAAATTTTAATTTTAACAACTTTCTAACAACCAGAAAGCTCAAAACATGTGCACTTCTGAAATAAATATGCAATAAGTGTAGCAGAACATGACTCAATCCAACATTTAAATAGCACTCCAGATACACTGGCACTGAATCCTGATTCACTTTAAAGAAAGCACTTTAAAAACTGCCTGTAATCAAAAAGCATCAAGCATCAATTGCCAATATTCAGTTTGCAATGCAGGAATGTAATCCCACTAGTTCTAATCAAAAACTAGTTGAGCCTAATGCGTAACTAGTGATGTTGAACTTTAACCATTTATCCTGGGATTGGATGACATCAGGAACTTTGCCAAGGATGGCCACAGGTGGTTTTCAGCCAAATTTCAAAAGCCTGCCAAATGAAAAGGAGAGAGGAGATAGAGAAGGGGTATAAGGAAGGAATATGAGGGTGCCATATCAGTTGATCATCCTTTCTTCTGATTCTGTGGGTGTCGTTTATCCACCACTGGCCTGCTGTACCCATTACCACCAAAGAAAGATGGTTCCATCTTGATCTATTGGCTGCAAATCACATCATTATCATCATATAACCCTAGGTGGTCAAATCAGCTTCCTTCTACCTTCCTTCCTTCTTATCTAGCCAGAGATCACCCTACTGCAGGTCACTAAGACCACCTATACTTTTGAAAAAGAATCCTTTGCAAGCCAACAGTTTCTGCAGTGGAAAGTAAACATATCATCCAGACTTTTAAACTGAACAAGGTACCTATGGAAAATCTTCTCCCAACAGAACTCTTTAGAGACTTGGTGGGAGCCTCTGCTGGCAGACTTTCATGTGAACAACACTGGTCTTATTCCAGCAAGATAGAAGGTCTTCATCATAGTGCAAATATATATAAAAAGGCAACCAGGACGACCAACACAAAACTACTGGCCCATAAGCTGCATTGATTTAGTGGCCAAGATGTATACCAAACAGCTCCTAAACAAGATAAAGTACTAGTTCATGTAGAAAAAGCTCTTAGCAGAAGAACAAACTGGATCAGACCTGACTGTTTTACTTCAGGTATTTTTTTCACATCATCTTTTAACCAAGTATGAATCTGAAGGCAAACAACTCTTTGCATCCTTCATTGATTTTAGTGCAGCATTTGATTCAATAGATGATTCTTTGGAAGAAATTGGCCAAGTTAAACATAAAATCTAGAGTCTAAATGGTTATAGCTGCTTAAGGCCTTTTATGCAAACACCTACCTAGAAATAGGTGATTAGGGGACTGGAGACTAAAACATATGAAGAACAGTTGCAGGATCTGGGCATGGCTAGTCTAGTGAAGAGAAGGACCAGGGGAGACATGATAATAGTGTTCCAATATTTGAGGGGCTGCCACAGAAAGGAAGGAGTCAAGTTATTTTCCAAGGCCAGATAAGGAATAATGGATGGAAACTGATCAAGGAGAGATTCAACCTAGAAATAAGGAGAAATTTTCTGACAGTGAGAACAATTAACCAATGGAACAACTTGCCTTCAGAAGTTGTGGGAGCTTCAACACTGGAGACTTTCAAGAAGAGATTGGACTGCCATTTGTCAGAAATGGTGTAGGGTCTCCTGCTTGGGTAGGGGTGATGGACCTACAAGGTCCCTTCCAACTCTGTTAATCTCTGTACCAAGTCTGTACAGCGACTAAAGGTGCCCTAACACAGAACATTCCCACCTATAAAACCATAAGACGAAAGTACATCTTGGCACAAATGCTGCTTAATTTTTATGTCAATGACATGCCAGGATTTATTTTTTCCCCTGAAGTATACATTACCAAGATTTCTAATAAATCTATTAATGTTTTTAATACACTGATGACATTGTTCTGGTGACGTATTCTCAAGTTGGCCTCAGAGGTCTTCTCTGAAAACTACCTACCTTATTGTGTTTTCAATAAGGTACGTAGTTTGTTGAACTACCTTTCAATAAGGTAGGTAGTTCCAATGTTGAAAGTTAATTAGGCCAAAGTGGTAGCATTTGACAATTAACGTTTGGATCTGAACATATAGTACAAATTTATACCTTTTCATACCAAGGGGTATGAAAACTTATTACAGTTTTTCACACTTACAACTGTTACTTACAACTTATAACTGCTGCAGTATCCCTGTGGTCAATTGATCAAAATTAGGAAGCTAGGCATATATTTATGACAGATGCAGTATCATAAATGCATGTGATCATATGATTGCCCTTTGCAACCTTCTGACAAGCAAAGTCAACAGGGAAGCCAGATTCACTTAACAACCATGTTACTAACTTAAGAGCTGCAGCAATTTACCTAACAAATGTGGCAAAAATGGTCATAAAATGAGGCAAAATCACACGTAACAACTATGTTGCTCAGCATTTCCCTGGATAAAGCAGATCCAGCCACTAATACACATACTGAAATCTGATTACTGCAATACTGGATACTGCTTTTAAAAAGAGTAAAAAAAAAAGTCAGTGCAAAATGTAGGCCATGTTGATCCCATTATTCCAGTTTGTTCTAATTGTACTTTTTATAGTTCGGTGCATTGCTATCTAAGAAGCTGTGCAATTGTGCATGATCCTTCAACTCCATTCAGGACAAATAGAGATAACAAATACAAGATTCAACAGGAAGCTGGCTATTTTCTTGAGACTCAATTTTAGAAATTCCTTCCTAGGAACATTTAACAGACTCTATCCCTAAACTTTAGACATTATCTTTAGAAATTGTTTTCTTATTTCTACAAGCTTTCAGCTTGCTTCTTGTTACTTTAATATTTTTTCTTATTCTTTTCATATTGCTTATTGTATTTTAAGTAGATATTATTGTATTAATTCAGGGACAGAAAACAGCCAATGAATATTTTTATAAATAAAAGGTTATCTTTGTCAGCTTATCTGCACCCAGCTATCCACTGATAAACCATTAAACAGAAAAGGGAACACAATCTGTTTCTCAAAGTATTTTTGTTAACAGCACTTGCAGATGGCATTGTTTCCACTGATCCAATCTCTCCAAAAAGTCTTGAAATCAGCTGTGTCATTGTTTTTACTCTTGTTGACTTGAGAAGGCAATTGGTGCTCCTTTCAGCTGACTGGTGGAAATATGAAAATCAGTAGCAACTTAAGCTACAGCACCTTCAGAAGTAAGAAAACTCTCCTTGTTCCACTCTTCACAGTAAAAAATAGCTACGCAACCATAATCCATTTTCTTTTTATCAGGCTATTTTTTAAAAATGAACAGTTGGAATTGACATGAAAGCTGCAAGACTATCAAGACTTGAATCTGGCTGCATATTTCCAACGAAAGCTGTAATAATGGCATGTCACCACAATTTTGTGAACAAGTGCTCAACCCATGATTGCAGGATGTAGGGTAGCTCCTGTCTGTGTCTGTCTGTTGAAGAAGGAAATAATGGCTCACTTAACCCCCAGAAGAAAAAGGCAAGAGTATGCTATAGGCTGTTTATGTAAACAGTAAAGATCAGGCTTGGTACCATAGTTCCGTTTTGATTTTTAGATGGCATGTGAAATTGACTTGATGGATTAAGATCAGTTTTTCTAAAAAGAGTGCCTGTGACATCTACTAGAGAAAGCAGGGCACTGGATAAGAGCAAGAATACCCACACTTCATAGCCTTTTTTTAGTTCCAACTGGGTCCCAAGAGAAAAGGCAATGTTTTATTCAGCTCGTTCAGTGTATAAAGGCGATAACTGTAAAGAATACTCACAACTGCTCCTTGTACTACACACTGCTGTTGCAATGCATTTTTGTTTGGTACAAATCTCAGCTTGGCATCAGGGAATACTAGAAAGAAGAATTAAGAACAAGCCAAATAGTTATGTATTTAGCACATTTTGTAGATCCCACCAGAAAGACTCTCAGAGCCACAAAGGGTATAAGCTACAGCTGCAACCCTTGCAGCAATTTCGTGCATGATCACTAACACTACACAATCATTCTGCACAACTGTGGCCTGCCCTCAAGAATACTTCCATACGATAGTAGGAATCTACCTGACATTTACAAACCTCCATTAAGGATTGAAAATAAGCCACAACCAACTGCAACAACATATATTAAGGTATTGTTTACAAATCATAACCTTGGTTTATACATTAAGTTAAGCAAACTGTATTATGGCATTGTGACATGAACCCAGCTTTGTGAACTGAACTGGGAACAGATATGCAAGTCAAACTTCACATATACAGGTGAGTTCCTAATTCTTTTCAGATGCCAGTAGATTTACATGAGTTAATAAGTGAACTGTCCTTTGCAAGCACGGCGAACGGGCTCATATGACATTCTAAATCAAAAACACATCAAATTTTGTTAATGTGTTTTGAAAATGTTGCTTTTTCTCTTTCATCTAATGTATAAGAACCAATATAAGCAAGTTCTTTTCTCCCAGATCCTTTTCAGCAAGAAATTACTGTTTCTCAAGAACAAAAATCACTAATTACTAAAACCACAAAAAGTCTAAGATAAATATAAAACATATACAAAAGATAAGATAGAATTGAAACAATAATAATGACAAATTAAAAGCTGTTTGATGAATCATGACTGAACAAAAGAGGGAAATGTGGAGGAGTCTCAAACTGTCTGGTTTTGTTCTTACAGTACTAAAAAAAAAAATACAGCTGTGCCCTTACATAATATAGTTAGTTATAAACAACGCCATCAATTTCATTCTTCCACTCCTATGCCTTTCAAATGGACTGCAGCTACAAATCTCAGAATTTCGAGACCCATCTGGACTGTTAAAATTATGATCTTAAATAGATCGGTTTCTTCCTTTTTTCTTCAGTGCCTTTCCACTATTGTATTACTAGTTATCTTGTCTTGACGTGCCCAGAACACATTCCTTAAAATGATCAAGATCCAAAGCTGAATCCTGAGTTCTCATAAGGAAGTGCCTATCAAGATTAATAGTATTGGACTAGTTCAGTGGCACTGAACTATGTTGTTCCAACTACAGTTCATAATTTCTTTGACCACTGACTTTGCTGGCTGAAGCTGACAGGACTTGAAAACAGATCCACAATATATGCGCAGCTCTAGGATGAACCAATGACCCAAATATAAAGCAATTTAATATCAAGCTCCTAATGACTTCTTTCGTGATTATGGACTGATTTTTTTTATCAAAGTTCTTGTATTATATGTGTTCATTAGTACTCATGCATCATCTGGGCTTTACAATAATTCTGACAGCAATTGTTCAAATATAGCTCTCTAACAAAAGAATACTAACACTGAAGACAGTGTTTAATTTTGTTGTACCATGTGCAATGACAATAAAGTAAACTAAACTAAATTAAACTAAACTAAAAGACTTTCCCTTCATGCTGACTTGATATTCTTGAAACTGTAGTCCAACAGATCTGGAGGCCGTCTTGGTTAAAAGAGCATGCGAAGCTATTACCTACTTCTTTCCTCCTCTGCAGACTCAACCATCCCCAAAAATACTGTGGTTTGCTTTGAATTCAGTTTGGAAAAGATTTTTGGGATATCCACAGCATTTATCTTTGACTCATTAAAGAAGCCATATCAGTTTTCCTGACTGCATGGCTGCAGCTCTGTTTTGAATGTTCTGAAAATGTTCTTCCAAGAGGAATCTGACGGACTGCACAGCCTTATAAAATAATATAATATAAATATAAATACAACATATCACAAGACAAACTTGCATATATAGATTAGCCACAATTCTATTTCAACCCATTCCAAAATGTTAGTGACCCACATGCAGTATTTTTTTTTCTACCACCAGAACAGGAAATAGTTCAATTAGCTTCATGTTACTAGCTTTAATAGTAAAGCTATAATATATACATGTCCTTCAGTAAATGAAGATTGAAATATGGCCTAACAACACCATCTTCAAAGGATAAAACCAGTGTCTAAGCACTTTGGCATTTTGACTAACAGCATTTTTCAGGAAATGAAGTCAATTTACTTATGACAGCCTAATTGCTTTCTGGCTCAAGGTCGAGGCAACTTGATTAATGTAGCACTTGCTAGAGGCCAACATACTCTAGAAAGGACAAAGCAAAGATCAGGATGATACTGATTTGCAACATACCGATTTCTTCGCTTGATTCCTCCTTTCCTTTCTGTAAGCTCTGAAAATCTAATGCATTAGTACTCTCATCCAAAAGAGCATGCGAAGCGATTACCTACTTCTTTCCTCCTCTGCAGACTCAACCATCCCCAAAAATACTGCCCACACTGATTCTACAACTCAGCTATGCTTCATTTCCCCACAAATCTCTAATACGTAAGTTATCATCCGCATAGGTAGTCCTTGACTTATGTCCACAATTGGAACCAGAATTTAACTCACTGAGTGATGCAGTTATCATGTGAGTCATCACATGACTGGACCATATTTTCCTGTCATTGTTTACTGCAGTTAGTTAAGTGAATCATAGTGTTATAAACGAATCTGACTTTTGCTTGTCAGAAGCCAGCTGGGAAGGTTACAAATCACAATCATGTGACTGAAGGATCCTGCAACCAACATAAATGCAGTTTATGAAAAGAAGAAATATGTAAAAAAGTGACTTGCAACCTGCATCACAAGTATAAACAAAGGTTACAAACAAATCTCTCTTCCTCTCCTATCCCATTCCTTATTTATAATCCATAAAATATTAACTTTAGTTGAGCTCCATATCCAACTTATTCTTTTTTTGCAAAATAACTATTGTTCCTTCCTGGGCTCCTGCCATGCTATCAAGCTATCTATCTACATATCTGTTTGTTTATCTGTGTCTGTCTGTCTGTCCGTCCATCTGTCCATCCAATGTGTATCACATACACATTTCTATTGTTTCAAAAACCAGTAATGCTGTTTGGATTACAGAGTTGCTGAGGAAGATTTTGGGGGGAGAAATATTTTGTTCTCTTATTCCACCATCCTGAGTCATTACCTTGCTATGTGTTACAATGCTAAAAGCTCAGTGCTGCTGTTGGCTATATGCCCAGAAACTAAGTGCAGTATTGTTTTGTGGCAGAACAGAAAGGAGATGTTCTTTTTTATTATCATTCTCTCAAACAGTAATCTTAAAGAGGGCCAGTTCATTATTACCCCTCTAATTCTAATCCTCTCCCATTCCAAGATGCAGTCTTTTCAATATGGTATTCTTCAACTATTCTGTATATAATGAGTGGCATCATCTAATGTTTTGTTTCTCTTTCAGTATGCGGGTGTATCTGAGCCAAAGTAACAATTTTGTGGAATTTCTAAGTGTGCCCAGTACTGTTTTGTATTGATTCCTGCTATGCTATGCTATGCTATGCTATGCTATGCTATGCTATGCTATGCTATGCTATGCTATGCTATGCTATGCTATGCTATGCTATGCTATGCTATGCTATGCTATGCTATGCTATGCTATGCTACGCTACCATATCCTATCCTATGCTATCCTACCCTATCCTTTCCTATCCTAATGTCAGACTATTAAGAATTAAAGCAATAAATTTTGGTCAGAACTAACTTTGATTACTGCTTGTCTCATCAGGTCAACATAGTTCCACCATGTAATTCTTTGCAATATTTTTGTGTTCTTTCACATTCAAAACTTACACGAGTATACTTTGAAACCCTAGAAATTCTTTACCTCAATTTAAGCCTCATCTCTGTGTATTTCCTTAAACACACCCTGTGAGTTTCATTTTATACAGAGTTGTCTTTTTGCATGATGTGTTGATTTTAAAGTATGTGAAATAATTATTCTTGCTTTACAATCAAAGGATTCACTTAAAAGTGCCTTTATGTATTGTTGGACTCTATAAATACAATCACTTAAAGCAAATAAAGAGCAATAATTTGACAAAGATGTGCTGTTTAAAATTATTAGACAGATAGAACCAAATAACTGTCATTGCTGGATACAGTACTACTGTACACTCTAAAAAGCTATTTTTCAAATAGAAAATATAATGGAAAATAAAAAGTGAAAAAATAAAGCACAAACAGTCAAATCTATAATTACACTGAAGATACCGAGTTTTGTATCCACAACAAAACACTGCAGAAAAAAATTAAAAACCAGGGGACCTGAAATTGATCTCTCGGTCAGACTACCTAAAATATTTTTGTTCTATGATTCAATATATATCATAAGTAATGTCAATCAATTTCCCAGTGTAAATTATAAATTACACCACCTTATCCAAAATATTCTAATAAATATGTTCATTTCTTAAGGGTGAAGTCTTATACAAATTGCCTTTCAGGTAAGCCCGATAATATATGCATCAAATCAAAATAAAAAAGGATTAACGGTTTTAAAATAACTGGAATACAGAAAGGGTATCAGAAATTTATATCTCTAATACTTTGTCCCTTATTATCCTTTCCTGTTTTGTTTAGTTTCTCTGAAAAAATGTGAACCAAAAATGAAAATAAAATGTGATAGGAAAAATCAGAATAACCTAATCATACCATTAGCTAATTTAACTCTGTAGGAGTAATTAAATCAATTAGAAGAAAAATAAAAGAGTTAGCTGAGTAATACCTGTGGACTCAAATAATGTTGTAATCCAAATTGGTGTAAAAAGAAATAGATACAATGCTAAAGTTTAGTTTGTAACCTCCAGTTAGACAAACAGTGCATCATAGAGCAATCATTTTTGAATCAATGTACCTCAAATGGGCTGCCTTAAAAAAATACGCCCAAAATCCCACAGGGCCCAGGACTCCTGTGAGATAGAAATTTAGCAAAGGTGTGGCTGCTCCAGTGTTGCCATACTGTTACACCAGTCATGGTCACGTGATTATCATTTCCAACACTCCCTGTCAACTTCCCACAAGGAAACTCAATGGAGATGGAAGTTGCTCCCACTCCCACTGCTTTTTTGCCCACGTAGGATTATTCTGTTTCTCTGTTTAAGTAAGTAATTATCTCTGAAATGGTGATTCAATCGGTCATTGGTTGTCTAGTTTTAGTGATAGTTTGTCTTCCATATATTCATGGACTATAAAATCACCACTGGCCATTCTGGCTAAATCAAGTGGGAATTCAGTTCAGCAACATCTGGAGAGATTATATCATTATCCCATTGTTTTGGAACTAGGTGCATTAAATCCGATATGTTCAATACCTTTAGGAACTAGGAATAAGTAACTATTCCCAAACTGAAAGGATTACATAATACTATTTAGGCAGAAAAGAGCAATTCGTATGACTTTTTAATTTTTACATTTAGCTCAAGATGGATAATATTGCTTTTTTAAAAAACTGACATAGTAATTAAATATTTCATTCAAATCCTTACAAACATGCCTACTAAAACTTCAAAGATGAAGCAAACCTAAAACTGCAAATAGAAAAATCCACCATAATCCAAATGTCTATGTGTAAAACAGCTTATGTCATCAATAGTGCATTTTAACACGCATGATAAACAGAGACAGGCACAGCACTGCACAAATCCTAAAAAAAAATCCAAAAACTAGCCATTTGTTCCTTAAGACCTGGAAACCCTACACACAAAGACAGGAGTGAGTGAGCGAAACAGAGTGTGTGTGTGCATTTGCCAGATATGGAAATTATCAGTCTTCCCTTATAAATTTTAAATGGCTTGAGTTCTGGTGAACACAGTGAAATATTTCTACCCACCTAAACAACATATACAGCAGTGCAGTAACATTAGCAGAAACCATTTTTAATAGTTAACCATTCCAAAACTTCTTCCAAAAAGGAGAATCATAAATGTGTTAGAATTGTATTCTTGCTGGATCAGATGTAAACAAACCCTGAAAAGGGAGGGGGTGACAGTTCAAACTGCACATTGTCGTGGGTGGATCTTTTCCTCCAATATCATGCCAACATACAGGCATTTCCATTTTCCCTCTTTCCTCATAAAGGAAAGGAATGTGACCTCTTGAAGCACCTACTGTCAGGTACGATTCGCTAGTTAAGTACAGAATTAGCGAGTCAGCATATTACGCGGGGAAGTGAACTAAGCGGGCCCGATAAGGAACGGGCAATGGCCACACCCACACCCTGAATCAGCACCCTTAATGCCTGCTTGAACTCTGGCTTCGTCGTCTTGGATCACCAGGCTGGAAAAAAGGAGCCAGATAAACAAATGCGCTTGCTCCTCAAAGCGCTCTGCCTGTCTCCGCCGACGTACTACGGAGTGGGTGCCCACTCCTTCCATGCTAACTGGGGGCGGGGGCGAAGGAGTAGGAGTGGGATGCAGCATTTCTATGAGCCGAGAAGCTGCTGCTTCGTTCTTTCTCTTCCCCCCTCCCTCCCCCGTCCCTTAGCGCTCCATGCACCCAGGCTGCAAACAGGCGCGCGGCGCGGGGCTCATCACTAGCAAATACCCACCGCTAGAAGGTGGGGAGGGTAGCTTGGGTCTCCTCAGGCCAAGATCGGACCTTCCTGGCCGCCGCCGCTGCTGCTGCCGCCGCTTGGCAGGTTCTCCGCAAGGATGCCAGACCGAGATTCCTCCATGATCCCCAGGAAGAGGCGGAGAAGCGAAAAGCAGCTACAGCATCCGCGGGCGGAGAGAGAGGAAAGGAAGCTGCGGCCGGGAAGGGAGAAACGCTCGCTACGGTCCTCCTCGGCTAGAAGCCGCCGAGGGCTGCGTCCACCGCTCGTGGCTTCCAGGCACCGTTTGGCAACGGGAGGCCAGCAACCACCGCAGCAGCAGCAGCAGCATATTCCCTCGGCAAAGGAAGACGCAACTCCCCGGCGGCTGCTCTGCGCGCGCGCACACACACACACACTCAGCCCCGCACACTCCCTTCCCTTCCGCGCCTGGTTCCGCCGAGAAATCCCTAAAGGCTCCGCTTCGCGGGAGCCAGCTCTGCCTGCCCGCCCGCTTTCCTCCCTCTCCTCCGTGCTCCGAGCTCCGCCTACCGCACAACCCTGTGACCTTTTCTCTAACAGAAATGTAAATTTTTAGGGAAGGAAGCGTGGAGTGCTCGCCTCATCCGCAGGAATGCGCTCGCCAACTTTCCTTTCATTGTCCCCGCGCCTTTGATTGATTCGTTCCCTTCGTCTGAGCCACAACATTGTCTGGATAATTCATTGCAACGGCTTAGTACCTTATCAACAGGTTATAGCCAAAACGGCGGCCTTGTTTTTTTTGCTGGTTTTAAAGATGCTTTCCAGCCTAAGCGGTGCTTTCAAGCGTATTATTGCCCGATAAATACGGGCAGGGTTGCTGTCTCTAGAGACAATTCGCTTTCAAAAAGTGCTGATCCCAAGACGTTCACAATTAAGATGGCTGTTCCTGTCACATAAGCCACCTGTGTTATCCTCAAGGTTTCCTCAACTTTGTGGATACTGCACCATCATCTTATTGGCTTGTTTATATTTAATTCTGCCACATGATTGAACCACAGGAATTGTAGCAGCTCAGGAGTGAATATGTTTTTCCTTTGGGTAGCAAAGGCTTTATTTCCTTTAATCTTATGCCTAGCATTATTCCTGTGCAAGGAATAAAGCAAGGAATCTGCTTGCTTTATTTCATTTAAATAACTATATAAATTGTCTCCAGGAAATATACACCCCTTTCATTATAGTGATTTTCATTTATATGCATATGATAAACTTAAATTCAGACATTCTGGTGTACAATAATCGCAATTTGAACACTGAAGGTATTTAGGGAGATGGCTGGAGTCCCAGGTAAAAAATGTGGTGTTGGGGGGGGGGGTAGGCCTGGGGGGCTGCTCATTGCAGGTGGTGGGTGAGGGCAGGGAGGCTAGGGGAAGCAAGGTTAGTGCAGGGAGGACAGTAGAATTATGGGAGCAACTTGTGATCTTCTGTGCTGGCTTCCCCATTGACTTTGCTTATGGGAAGGTGACAGAGGAAGGTTGCAAATGGTGATCAGTGACCTGGTGGGGAAGGTGCTACAACCATTATAACTGCCAGCTGGTTGACATGTGCCCAAATGACATAACTATGAAGATGGTGTGAATGCCAGAGCTTTAATGACTGGTTGTAAGTACCACTTACTTAGCACCATCGCAACTTCAAACAGTTACTTTTTTTTTTTTTTTAATTTGATTTATATGCCGCCCTTCTCCGAAGACTCAGGGCGGCTTACAATGTGCTCAGCAATAATCAATATTTTTCCAAATCATCATCAATCAACAACAATATCTGCCTATCCAAAGTCTTTGGGGAGGACTCAATAGGTGGATAAAAATGCCTAAAGAGCATGGGGTGGTCATATATTGCATCAGTGTATGCTTCCCTTGTTGCAGACATAATATTTTCTTATTAGCAATTTCTACTTTAGTAACTGCACATGAAAACACCTCTACAAAGCCATGCTAATATTTGCATAATAGACTTTCAGATACGGAAGTGCCTATTTGGTTATGGGGCTTGTCATAAGGCTTATTATTATGCTTGATGAAAAGTCCCCAATTATAGTATGATAATATGGTAATAGTAAGATGCACTGAAACAAAAATATGGGGAATAGATTAGAATGTCCATCAGACTTTTTGGGAACAGAAACTCAGCATTTTTGTCATTGTGGGATTGTTGCTCCCAATCTGCTTATTTATGGCTGCACACCTCTGAGTACCATAACTGCTTATATCTTCTGGTCCTTCAGAACTTGGTTTTATCAGTACACCACCTCCATTCTGAGTATCATGAATCGAACTTGGGGAATTAGAAGCAAGCTTTCCATAGTCTAGCTACAGAAAACATAGAAGGTGTTGAAATGCCCAACAATGAAGGTGTAAGAATAGGCATGGGAGTTGTTTGTGCTACAAGCTGCGGTGCAAACAGTAGGTCTAAGTTAAATGTTGACTTTGCACATTTATTTGCCTGCAAGTGAGAGATGGGGGGACATTGTGTGTTATTGTAGTTTCCCACAGTAGGAAATGTGGCCTGAAGGCCCAATGCAAAAGATGGTTTCCAGGCCTGACTGTTACGTTTGCATACCAAGTTCTTTTAGAATCAAGAAGGAACTGTAAAGTGTGGTAATGTGATGTGATGTAATCCAAGGTCAGTGGAACACTGGAAGTGGTATTCTCTATAACAAACTTTGGAATAAGCAAGAAAGAGTCCTTATATCATCCCATACAAATGAACGTCCAATCTTTTCTTGAAAACCTCTGGCAACAGAGCACACACAAGTCCAGGAGGCAAGCTATTTTATGGTTAATTGCTCTTACTGTCAGGAAATTTCTCCTTAGTTCCAGATAGGATCTCCCTTTAACAAGCTTCCAGAATAGAAGCCCCTAAAGCAAATGTTGAATTGGTGAAGCTATCTGCACCATCAGATGCTGGAGAAAAGATACAGTATCTGATGGATTTCTGCTTGTTTAATTCTTCATAGTGTAGATTCTCAATATTGCTATGGGGTATGAGAAATTAGGCATATTATATCTCAACATGCTCAAGGAGCTGTCTTTTACAGCAACTAAAGCTGAGACTAGGCCTTGAAAATCCAATCCAGAGCCACCTATAATCATTTATACTATGTAGCAAAGTACAGCAGTTTTTTTTTTTTTAAAAAAAAACCCAATACCCTAATTCATCATTCAGGGTTAGATGAAAAATAATAGTAGCTGCAAGACAGAAGATTTATCAGAAACTTTGAGAAATAGAAATAGAATTCTTTATTGGCCAAGTGTGATTGGACACACAAGGAATTTGTCTCCGGTGCATAAACTCTCAGTGTACATACAAGCAATCAATGATAAATTATGATCATAGTGACCATAAAAATACATTAATCATAAATCATAAGATACAACACTTAGTGATAGTAATAGGATACTAAATAAGCAATCAACATAAATTATACTAGGATACTAAATAAACAATATAAATCATAAGATACAAGCAGCAAAGTTATAGTCATAAGAAGATAAAGACATAGGTAATAGGAAAGATGAGAAGAATGCAGCCTTACTAGATAGTTTGACAGTGTTGTGGAAATTAGTTTTTTAGCCGAGTGATGGCATAGGGGGAAAACTCTCCTTCTGTCTAGCTGTTCTAGTGTGCAATGCCCTATAGTGTCATTTTGAGGGCAGAAGTTGAAACAGTTTATGTCCAGGATGTGAAGGGTCTGTAGATATTTTTAAAGCACTCTTTCTGGCTTGTGCAGTATACAGGTCCTCAATGGAAGGCAGGTTGGTAGCAATTTTTTTTTCCTGCAGTTCTAAAGTAGGCCAAGAATGTAGAAAGTCTGCAAAGTTTTTTTTTTTTCCCATACATCCTTGATTTATTCCTTTATTGAGCATTGCAACAAGTATTGTTTCTTTACACTGAATTCTCTCCTGGAAAAATGGTTTTAAAATTGGGCCAACAGGCAGAAACAAGAAAAATTTGCCACATCTTCAGCACAGAGAATTGAATGGGAAGTATGGCTGGGAAGTACAGCTTAACTTTGAGAGACGGAACAAAAACTATGAAAATAAAACTACACTTCGATACATCTGCTAGAAATCAAGAAATTCTATACTCCACTATACAAATTCAACAATTATAAAATTTTAAAATTATAAATTTATAAATAAATATAATATAAATATACATTTATAAAATTATAAAATTATTTTATCTTCCTATCTTACCATGACTTACGTTGGTTTCTAAATAGGTTTCTTTAAACTAAACTACACATTATCTAAAAGCACAAAACCTTAGTATATCTTGTTAAGGTAGTTCTTAAGGTACAGGTAGTTCTTGACTTACGACCACAATTGAGCCAAAAATTGATGTTGCTAAGTGAGATATTTGCTAAGTGAGTTTTCCCCATTTTATGGCCACAGTTGTTAAGTGAATCACTGCAGTTGTTAGGTTAATAACACAGTTGTTAAGTGAATCTGGTTTCCCCATTGACTTTGCTTGTTGGAAGGTCACAAAAGGAAATCACATAATCCTGGGACACTGCCACTGTCATAAATATGCGTCAGTTGCCAAGCGTTTTAATTTTGATCACATGACATGAAAATGCTGCAACATTTATAAGTGTGAAAAACGTTCATAAGTCACTTTTTTTAGTGCTGTTGCAACTTTGAATGGTCACTAAATGAACTGTTGTGAGTCGAGGACTGACTGTAGTTTCAAGTGTTTGTATTGTCTTTGTGTGTATCTTTTTGGTATATCAACATTAAATAATAATATAGAGCAGGGGTGTCAAACTTGCGCCATCACAGTATCGTCACGTGACTTATTGGGACTTTCCCCCCCTTCGCTAAACTGGGCAGGGGCGGGGCCAGCACATGATGCATCTAGCCAGCACAAGTTTGACACCCCTGATATAGAGGCATTTACACCTAATTTTTAAGAAAATAGGTTATAGACAGTATAAAAGCTACTGATATTAATTCCTACAGGGTTCTATTATTAGTCAGCATAGCTATTATATGTTTAAATACTTCAGAGTAAGCCTTAATTATTGCATAATTGACCTGGGGTAATTTTTTGTTGGAATGTTTTTTTCTCAACCTGTTCCATTTCATGGAAAAAAATCTGCCTTAGCATTCATTCTTTAGATTTAGATTCCTTTTTTCCATTTGGGAACTCAAAGCATCACCTCCTTCCTTCCATTTATCCAAAATACTTCCATGAAGTAGGTAGAGCTGAGAGAAAATAACTGGCCCCAATCCACCAGCAGAGCAAAATAAGACTTGAAGCTGAATTTCTCTACTGTACTTCTAGTCTTCCACCTTAATTATCATACTCCCTTGCTGATAGAGTATTTTTACACATTTGTAATTCCAGAAAAGGAACCTTTTGAATTTTGAGAGCATATTCTGGCTATTTTGAGAGTAGGGGTTTATCCTTTCATTGATAGATAGATTTTGTGACATGGCTGATCACAAAATTTTCTTAGTCAGAAAGAAAACTCTCACAGCCTCTAGCAGGTGT